TTCTATTCTATTCTATTCTATTCTATTCTATTCTATTCTATTCTATTCCTTTCCTATTCCTATTCCTATTCCTATTCCTATTCCTATTCTAGTACACACTGAAGTGCTCTTGCAAGGAAGTCTCAGTCATGGGACCCATTGGTGATAAAATGTCACACATGTTTATTTCTTTATGATAACATTTCTGTTCTACCAATTTCTAATAAGTTATTTTTGTATGAAAATCTAGCATGCTTCCAAAGCATGTCGATATCACAGAAACAAAGCTGACTTATAATCAAACCTTCTTTCCAGGGATCCTCCGATGGGATTTAAAGACTACTAACAAAACATCCATCATCTCATCAAATGATCGGATGCAAAATTCTGTAGGGATTAGGATGGGAGTGAGAGGAAATCATGATAAAGTTAACATATATTTGTATTTTAAAAATCTCAGATTTTTCTACAAATGGCTTGATAATTATCATGGAATACTTTAGTGGTTTATTTTCGCATGATACTTTCATTACTTATAGAGCTGTTTCCTGTATCTCCAGTTTGGGCCTCTGAGATGGATGGCTGAAATAGAACTTGTCCATGGGGTGCATCTTTGAGGAAGTCAGGTGTAGCTCAGAGGGGCTCTCTTTTGGCCTTGCTGGGGACCTGGTGGCATCCAGGAGAACACTAGGAGCCTCTGGCCTTTAAGACTGTTTCCTTCTCTTCAACAGAAGTCAAGACACACAGAAAGTGAAAAGCTGCAAGTGCAAATTCAGGCCTACCTGGACAATGTGTTTGATGTAGGTGGGTTGCTAGAAGATGCAGAGACCAAGAACGTGGCTTTGGAGAAAGTAGAAGAACTGGAAGAGCACTTATCACATGTAAGTGGACAGACTTTTCTTTAACATGGAAAAGTCGTACTGGATAGGCAGCTAATCCTGGAACCCATTTTGCCAATGGGGAAAAAGGCTATTTAATTAAATGTCCTTCTCCTTTGTTACTATTTACTCTTAAAGTAAAGAAATATATGTCATCGAACAAGGAAGTTCCATTCAGTTGCTAAACGTTTATTTATCCAACCCCTTTTAAGTTAGTGACAAGTTCACCAGCTTTTAGAACATAGGGATTTTCATTATGAAGAGTCCAATAGTTGATCCACCTACTGTGTTCCTTAATTCAAGTGCAGGTAGTTCTCGACTTACAACAGTTCATTTAGAGACTCTTCGAAGTCATAACATCACTGAAAAAAGTGACGTATGACCATTTTTCACCCTTTCAACCATTGCAGCCTCCCCATGATCACGTGATCAAAATTCAGATACCTGGCATATTTACAATGGGTTGCAGTGTCTTGGGGGGTCATGTCAACACCTTTTGCAACCTTCTGACAAGCAAAGTCAGTGGGGAAGCCAGAGTCGCGTCACAACCGTGTGACTGACTTAACAACTGCAGCGATCCACTTAACAACTGTGGCAAGAAAGGACATGAAATGGGGGTAAAGTTCACTTAGCAACTATCTCACTTCGCAGCAGAATTGTGGTTGTTAAGTCGAGGGCTACTTGTAGGTGAGACAGTGATTTTTCTAGCCCTGCCTGGAGATGCCAGGGATTAAATTAGGGAGTTTTTGCATGCCATATAAAAGGTCCCGTGAATTCACTTCATTGTCTGAGGTGTAAAGTCTCCTGCCTGGGCACGCAAAGGGAAGAAGGTACAGTTAAGCTAAAATGTCTTTTTTAACTATTTCAAAAAACACTAATCGCTTGGTTTTTGCTAAAATGCCCCTTGTGACAGTCTCACTACCTCACTGATGAGAGTCTGCCTCACAAGTGAGTTGTTGAACATATCATTCTCAAACAATAAAAACAGAGCTGTCTTGACTCAAAGGAAAGACCAATCAGTGATTCCTGTTCTGTGTTATTCAGTTGACAGAAAAGTTGCTGGATCTGGAGAATGAGAACATAATGCGGGTAGCTGAGTTGGAGAAACAACTGTTACAGCGGGAAAAGGAATTGGAGATTGTCAAGGTAAGTGGATCCAAGAAAGGGAATTGAAGGTGCTCTCCAGAGCATGGAGGTATGACTGATGGTTTCATCTAGACTTTCCCGGAGAAGGTAATTGACAAGGTACTGTGGGGAAAGATAACTTGCTCATCCCCATGGATCTTTCTGGCCAAAGGGGAGAATAATATGCATCAGTTTTCATGGGTGTTATCATGAGTTGATAGTATCAGCCAACAGGTCAAATGTCTATGGAAATTCTCAGTCATCCATCCATTCCATTTTATGAAAAGGCAAGTGGACTTTTGGTCAGTTTTTTTCCTTTGAAAATGTTTCGCTTCTTGGATGAGAAGTGAAACATCTTCAAAAGAAAACCCAGAAAGTCCAGTTGCCTCTTGAAAAAAGCACCTTTGGGACAAGCACGGCCTGGATGACTGAGAATCTCCATAGACATTCCCCACATACTCTTTTCTGTATAGATGGATATGTTCTTCTTATGAAGGAAATTACATTATGTAACTCATTCTTATTCTCAGAAATGGTATGGTTGGAGATGCTTGTGATTTTACACTTCAGCATACAATGACCTTGCAACCTTTCCCAGTCTGTATCTGCCAGCTGGGTTGGATTGCAACACTCAAACCTCCAATCCACCTGGAGGTCCCTGAACTGGGGAAGGTTTTGATGGGATTGGTCCTTTGTGATTAGGATTGCCTGAGATGTTAAACAGGGAACGGTTTTTAGAGGTAAGAAAAACTCTATTGTATCTCTTTATCTGGGACAGGAGACGTACGAAAGTGCCAGCCACCAAGTTCATACATTGCGCAGAATTATCAAGGAGAAGGAAGAAGCCTTTCGACATCACTATACCTCACATCCAATGGGGAGTGACCACTTGCCGCTGCCACCACCTCCAGAGGCAGAGATCAATTTCTGTGACATCTCTGAGGATGAACTTTGCCTGCCTGTCCTGCCTCCTGTGGAGGCTGCCCCTCCTCCACCTCCTCCTCCACCCCCTCTTCCCCCACCCCCTCCTCCACTACCAGGTAGGCTTCTATTCTAGAGCTAACAAGCCAACATCTTGCCATGAGGGGAGTTGCCTTGTTTTATTTATTTATCTGTTGTTTCTTTCCTTATAGATAAGTGTCCACCAGCTCCACCTCTTCCTGGTACATCTCCTTCGGTGATTCTCACAATGGGCTTATCAGGTAGATAGCAATAACACTTAGATTTATACACTGCTTCATAATGCTTTACAGCATTCTCTGGGTGACTTACAGAGTCGGCATATTGCCCTCAACAATTTGGGTCCTCATTTTACCAACCTCGGAAGGATGGAAGGCTGAGTCAACCTTGAGCCCGTCTAGATCGAACTGCTGGCAGTGGGTGGAATTAGCCTGCAATAATGCATTCTAACCACTGTGCCACCACCGGCTCAACATCTGTTCTCTCAAATAGACCTGAGCAGTAAAATAGCATGGGGATTACTGTATACTTGATGCTAATTGAATGGAGAAGGGTTTGAAGATAAATAATGTATGTAGTAATGTAGGTTCCACTTTAAAATATATGCTTGCAGCCCTTATGGATATAAAGTCTGAGGGAAATGCCAGAGAGCCAAAAAAGCCAATTAATAAAACTGAATTAAGCAACTAGAAACTGTTGCTGAGTAAATTATATAATATGGTTGAGAAAATGTATGTTTTCCCCAAAATGCAATTTATGTCATTTGTACGAAGGGTTTTTCTTGGCATCCCATTTCATTGTTGTGAGCTTGAATTTTTAATAGTTTGAATGTTCTTGGGGAAAATATTCTGTTGGACTAGAATAGCAAAAACTAAAATAACTTGTTTCCTTTAAAAATAGATAGTTTAATTTTGGTTCTGGCTTCAGATATACGGCTTGAAATACGGGCAGTGGTTGTTTTTTTTTTTTTTTGGAAACAAGCCCCATTCTCTTCAGGAAAATTCATCTGTTTCTTTTGAAACCCAGATGAGGCATGTCATATCTGGGCTGCAAAACTAAATGACAGGGGTACCCTATAATTCTTTGTTACCATGTTAGAATTGTCTGGAGTTTTGCAGTCCAGATATGTATGCCTGTGAACAGATCAGTGAATAATTTCCCTCAGTATTTGCATACAGAAGCAGGAAAGGATTTGTTGACATGTCCAAATCACATAGATACTACTCTTCAGAAATTATGGCATAAGGGAAACTAACAAAAGTTCACCAAAACTCGCCAGAAAATTGTCAGAATGAAAGCTTTTTCCTCAGACTGATTTGTTGGGAATAGACTGAGAATAACTTCTCCTTTCCATATGACCTAGTCATGCCTTGTTCTCTGTTTTGCACCAAGCAATCCGGATTAAGAAGCCCATCAAGACCAAGTTCCGCTTGCCAGTTTTTAACTGGACAGCATTGAAGCCCAACCAGATCAGTGGGACGGTCTTCAGTGAACTAGATGATGAAAAGATCTTGGAGGTGAGGGAAATGGAGAAGTGAGTGCTGGCATGAGTTGAGATTTTAAATACATAATTCCCAAAATGATTTTCTTTCTTAGTTCACACCCTGGGGTTTTGTTTTGGTTTTTGGACTGTTAGGATGCCATGGAGCTGAAGCTCTAATGCTGATTTTTTTTAAAAAAAAAAAAAAGTCTGCTGTTCAGTTTGAGTGAGAGAAGGAAAAGTCAGTTTGACTGGGAGTAGAATTACAAGTAGAATTGGGAAGATAACCCATATGAAGAGTAGAACAAGAATAAGAACCTGGAAGGACGGGAAATGATTTTGATTGTTGTAAGTTGTCTAGAGTCTCTTTTGTGAGATGGGAGAAGGGAAGGGAGGGAGGGAAGAAGGAAGGATGAAAATTGGCAGAAATCGGGTGCTAGCAGCAATAATGGAGTAGTAAAGACAGATGCCATTTGATTTGAATTGTATTGAACGTTGACATTTGTCTGCCACAGTTCTGCCTGCAAATGGAGCAGATAATCAGATTCTTCCACTGAAACTCACAGCAACCTTTGAACACCCATAGAACCTACTACCCAATCCTAGTGTATTATTGGAGCCCTCGGTTTCCAAAATGTACTGTATGGTTTTAATAAGTGATATGCAGCCAAACCAGCAAAATACCAAGAAGTAAAAAAAAAAAAACACAAGCTGTTAGCAGTTGTAATTACTAGCCCCAAGTTGATGAGGTAACTCTCTCTTTCCTTTTTTCCCCCAAGGATCTTGATCTGGACAAGTTTGAGGAGCTCTTTAAGACCAAAGCACAGGGCCCTGCCATCGATCTCCTTTGCTCTAAAAACAAAGCATCACACAAAGCGGTCAACAAAGTGACCCTGCTGGAGGCCAACCGGGCGAAGAACCTGGCCATCACATTGCGTAAGGCAGGCAGGACCACAGAGGAGATCTGCAAAGCCATCTACACGTGAGTCTCCCATCCCACCAGCCTGTGGTTTTTCCTCTTAAGCAGGCAACCTTCTTCTCTGTCAGGAAGTGTATATCTGCAGGCATAATCAGGAAGGGGCCATGAGACATGCAAATAATAGGAGTAGGGCAGTGGTCGGATTCAAATATTTTTACTACCGGTTCTGTGGGCGTGGCTTGTGGGCATGGTGTGGCTTGTTGGGCGTGGCAGGGGAAGGTTACTACAAAATCCCCATTCCCTCCCCACCCCACTAACCTGCTTTTCAGCTCCATTCTCCTGTGCAGGGCAACCAAAGAAGACCCAGCCGATCAGCTGGGACTCGGGAAGCAGAGAATAGGTGAGGGCGGGTCCAGTCAGAGGTGGTATTTACCAGTTCTATGAACTACTCAAAATTTCTGCTACCGGTTCTCCAGAACTGATCAGAACCTGCTGAATACCACCTCTGGAGTAGGGGATGCCAAAGCAAATTCTAGGTGGGGTGCTCTTTTCTTTCTGAAACACTCTTTTTTCCTTATCAACCTTCTTCCTCACCCAGCTGTCAGCCAAGATAAAGGCAGATCACTTTTTCCTAACTAGGGCTTAAGTTTTAGGTCCCATGGAGCTAGGCCACAAGCTTTATGAGATTCAAAGTTGCCGATTCCTCGGTGAGAGGATCACGGAATGCTAAGAGAGCCTCTCCCCTAGCGTCCTTTGCCCATCCATAGCCAGATGCTCCATCTCTGATAGAGGGACTTCCTTCATTGGGGCCCCTTTTAGGTTTGACTTGAAGACCTTACCAGTGGACTTTGTGGAGTGCCTGATGCGCTTTCTGCCAACGGAGAACGAGGTCAAGCTGCTGCGCCAGTATGAGAAGGAGAGGAAGCCATTGGAGGAATTGTCCGATGAGGACCGCTTCATGCTGCACTTCAGCAAAGTCGAACGTCTGACGCAGCGCATGGCCATTATGGCGTTCCTGGGAAACTTCAGTGAAAACATCCAGATGCTCATGCCGGTAACACAAGTTCTTTTTGGAGCATTGTAACGATAGGACCTTAAGCGGTACTAAGTTTAAGGCGATTTTTTTCTGAGTAGATGTACATATAGGACGGGAAAGGATGTGCTCGAGGTTGATCTTTCTATTTCTTCTGCTCCTGGAAGCCAGCTGTGTGTCTACAATGACACTACGACATATTTTTATAATGCAGAATTTCATAGAATGAGAATTACACCATCCTTTTGAAAATCTGTATTTTCCTACCTGGGCTGCCTGGCAAAATGGGGGATGCAAGCAAGCAGATGGGGCCTCTAGAGTAAATTACATTTTTTGATTGCCTCAGGTGTAACTTCCACTAACTTCAGTTTAGGAAAGGCACAGAAAATCTTTATCCTTGAGATCCAACAGGATAGTTGTTAGGGAGGAAGAAAGCAGCTGCACTGGGTAGGTGTCTCACGGATTCTACTCACTCCATCTTTGTGTTTTCTTGATGCACACAGAGATCTTGTCGCACTGTGGTGTGATTCCACCTAGGTTCCCAAATGATCATTTTTTTTCTCCTCTGTGCTAATATGCTTACAGTGTCCATTATTCTTCCTTCCTAATAGTTGTATTGGCCTTTCCTCAGGGAAGTGTTCAAAGCAATTAAAAACCAGATGCTAATATTTTTTTCACCTAACTTTAAAACGTGTGTGCATATGGAGGGATGGATTTATGCTCCAGCTGAGTTGTATGTAATAAAGTATGTGAGACAAGGAAATTGATTTCAAGAACAAGATGTTAAGGTCCACGTTTCAAGTTCAATAAATGGATCTCTTTGCTTTCAAACAAAAACAAAAACCAGATGATTAAACCATGCCCAAATTGGCGTCGCTTCCTAAGGAATTTAGCCCTCTCCAAAATACAAGAAGTGTTCAGGTGCTAAACTAGCAATAATACTGTTATGCTCTTTTGGTGTTTGCCTCTTATAGCAACTCAGTGCCATTATTGCTGCCTCGGCGTCCGTCAAATCGTCACAGAAGCTCAAGCGAATGCTAGAGGTAGGTCAGTCAGCTGGCATTAACATCGTTAATAATGGGAAGTTGGAGCACAATCACCACCATTTGCTTCACATACACTTTTTGGAATGCTAAAATTCAACCCAGATGAAGCAAAGAGACAAACGAAGGGAGCCTCTAAGCCTATTTTCCTTTTTTTAAAAAAATTGTAATTTTATTAAGCTCATCGAAGTATAAAATATAAATGAAAATAGTGGGAAAAGGGGAGGAGGGAAAGCAAAAATTTGTACCCGATGACTGTTAAGTATTGTACCTTATGATACTTGATGAATGTATCTTTTTATGTGCACTGAGAGCATATGCACCAAGACAAATTCCTTGTGTGTTTAATCACACTTGGCTAATAAAGAATTTGTTCATTCATTCATTCAAAAAGTGCAGGGTAAAGGGGACAAGAAAAAGAAAAGCATTTACTTCTGTCTCTTTTTAGCACAAGAGAATAACACAATAAAATTACAGCCTCAACTTTTTACTTTTACATACTTTAACATGTACTACTGGCCCTTTCTATAACAACAAAGAAAGGCTTACTTTCAATTGCTGTTCAGGAACTGTAGGCTCTAAGTTGGAATGTAGTTCCTGCAAAGGCAGAGAAAATTCACCTCAGGTACTTGTTCCCTCTCCTCTTCTCTCCCCACAGATCATCCTGGCCCTTGGCAACTACATGAACAGCAGCAAGCGTGGCTCAGTTTATGGGTTCAAGCTGCAGAGTCTGGACTTGGTAAGGGAAGAGGCATGGAAAAGGGTCATATATAGTTATGATCCATATATCTGTAAAAAGTAGCCAAGTGGATTTGCTAGAGGTATCCTAAGAAGAAGGACGTTAGTTATTAATGTCCTGTCACAACTTACAGCACTGTGCACTTTTTCACACTACCCGTGCCTCTGAATTCTAATGAATGAATGCATTCCCCCACAGGGCATTCCATGCCAATGTCCATGCATGTGACTGAACAGATGGGATTGTCTATGTTCACATGCATGTACCGTAGACTCCCTGCTGGTCTAATCTTTGTACACACTGATGCTGATGTCTTGATAATCGGTTCTTCCTTATTTCTATCCTGAAAGCTGTTGGACACCAAGTCCACCGACCGGAAGTTGACTCTTCTACATTTCATTGCCATGATGGTGAAGGAGAAATACCCTGAGCTGAGCACCTTCTGGCAGGAACTGCACTTTGTGGAAAAAGCGGCTGCAGGTAGATGGTCCTTTCAATCATAACAACCATAAATGCCATTTTGGTTTCATCCTGATCTTAATGAGGACCCCATTAGTTACTTCATCTCCAGTCTTTCCTTCATATACAAGATCAGCAGCATTTTTTTTTTTTTTTGTTATGTATCTGGAGGTGGTATGGAAGTCAGAGGCAATATTTTCTGGATATGTACAAGCCTCTGGGAGGATCATGATCTGACTTGTAAAAGGAAACTACCTGCAATCTGATATAATATATAATATAATGTATAGCAAAATGTATGAAACAGATATTGCTGCACTTCACTTAGTATGCGGATTGTTTCCAGAAAGGGTAGTGGTGAAGCAAGGCAGGCACTAAGGCAGACTGATAGGTGTGGTGGTATATCAATGCATGGGATATAATTGGGAGCGGAATTTCATGTTGCTAAGTTGCTCAGACTAAAAAATGGCCTTGAGACCACACACTTAAGTTTCTAACAACTTAGAGCAGGGGGGGTCAAACTGGATTTCCTCGAGGGCCGGATCAGTATTGTAATTCTCCTCCATGGACTGAGGGTGGGGAGTGGGGGGACAGACACTTCCTGCAGCAGTCTGCTGGCCAAAACGGGCTGCCCATTTTTGGCTGACAGAGTGGTGCTGGAGTCTGGAGAGGCCAAAAACAGGCCATGAGGGGGCCTCGCGAAGCCTCCACGCAGCCTGTTTTTCGCCAGCAGAGTGCTGTAGGAGGCCATGAAGGCTGAAAATAGATTGCAGGGGGCGGCACATGTGCCCCCCCATGGCCCATTTTGACTGGCAGATGCACTGCGGGTCGGTCCTTTGATATTTCCAGCCTGGCCCTGTGGGCCAGATTTAAGCACTCCATGGGCCGGATTCAGTCCATGGGCCTTGAGTTTGACACCCCTGAGAATGGGGCCCTCCAGAGGCATTGGGCAACAATATTTTCTTGCAGTGTTCCTGGAGCTGATGGGAATTGGTATCCAACACTCCCATCTGGAGGGTTAAGGAGCTCCCTGCCCCTGCTGAATAGGGGCAGGCCAATCCTGTCAGGGGCTCTCTCGACAGCTGCTGCTCTATCAGCTTGAGAACGGCTGCAATAAACCACAGCTTTCTGTTGTAGAGATCAGCTGTGCTAATGTACACAGGAAGCTCTTTGGGTTTCTTTCTTAGGGTTCAAACAGGCTTCCCACTGATTTGCTGGATTCAGATGGCCCAATTGACACAAAGACCCAGCCTGCCCCTCCTCCTGCGTAAATGGCTTATCGCGTAATGCAGCGGCATTAAAAGTAATCTGAAGCTGCCACAATGATAAAGGCAGCTGCCTTCTTGGCCACTGTCCCAGACTTTGTTATGCAGCATGTTAACTGTGGTCATTCTTTTGCAGCTCTAGGAAACGGATAATGTAAATAATTTTGGTGGGGTTGGAGATGCCTTTTTATAGCTGGTACGGCTGGAACAGAAGGGATGCCATTCAAAGAAGAGAGTAACAGAGTGACAAGAGAGTGGACTGCCTCTTGTGCAGGATTGCTGTGCAAGTGACTGAAGGTTGAGCTTGCCTAACATAAGTTATCTGGGATCAGTAACTCAAAACTAACCAGGTTCCTGATTCTGCTGTGAAAATTAGGTTTCTGATTCACACAGTGTGCTTTGTCTTTCAGTGGCCAGGTTAATTATGTTTTGTGAACCCAGCTCATTTCAGGAAGTCCATAAGATTCAAAGCTTTACTTCTCAAGTCTTTTTCCTTGATATCTCTGAATGGCTTATAACCAGTGACATGCTGATAAATGTATAACAACCAACTCAGCTCCATAGCCACAGCTCACTGCTAGCCACCAGACAGCTGATTGACCTACTAGCTCAGCTCTGTCTTCCAAACTGATTTGCAAAATTCCAGAAAAAACTTAACAATTGGCTCTGGTGAGCTGATATAAGCTGGCTGTAGCACATCATGGTTTATAACAAAAATTTGTGTGGGATTCATAGTTGCCTCCCCTTTCCTCGGACAAACTTCCTGTGCAACTTTGCAAGTAGTTGGAGCCAGTCCATGGCATCCCACGAAAGCCTCAATGCCCCAACTGGGAGTTCTGGGAAATGTACCATTTGAAGGCATCAGGGTGAGAAAGGCCATGTTTATAGAAGCTGGAGTGAGAGATGATTGGGGAACAGACTGTATTTAGAATTCACCACTTGTTTTTAATTAGTGTGTGTCCATTTGTTGATGGACAGGGTTTTTTGCTGAGTAACCTAAGAGAAGATCACTGATCTTGAGAAGGTTGAATGTTGAGTGTGGGAGAGGGAGATGGGAAGAGGTGAAGACAAGAAATGATATTATCAAGGAGACAAGTAGAAGAACTGAAGGATTAAGCCAAATACTTAAAAGACAGTTTTGTCAAATTATGTTGATTTGTGAAAGCTAGTATAATGGAATCCAGTTCTTTGAGCTGCAGGATATATTGTTAACAAATTAGCATAGCAGTGTAGAACAGCTTAAACACAACCCTGGGAGTCATCAAGAATTAAATACAAAAAGCATGACTTGTACCTACCAGTACCAGGTATCTCTGAGCACGTTTTAATCCTTGGATATTTTTCAGTATCAGAACACAATTGACCTTGTGCTTGAATGTTGCACTAAGTTATTCAAAACATTCTGTATGTCCATCAAATTTGGGCTGGGGGTGGAGCAGTGGTATATTAACCATTAAGCACGTGTTTAGGCCAAAGGGGGCACCACAAAATTGAGAACATGGCTTTGAATATGGCTACATTATATACAAAAGAGGAGGGCACCAAGATTTGTCAGTGCTTAGGACACCAGTGAGCCTTAATCCGCCACTGGGGTGGAGTGGTATTTTATTTCCCCAAAGATCTGCCTGTAGATCCTGACGCACCTTCTGCCCGTCTCTGGCACAGAAACCCAAATGTTTTCCTAGCACGCTGTGACCCTATAAACGCTTTGAAAATTCTTCAACCCAAGTTGTCCCGAGACCCACCTGGTGACTTCCCTTACTCTGCAGTGTCCCTGGAGAATGTGCTGCTGGACGTGAAGGAACTGGGGCGTGGAATGGAGCTGATTCGGCGGGAGTGCAGTTTGCACGAACACAGCATCCTGCGTAACTTCTTGATCGCCAATGAGGGAAAGTTGGACCGACTCCAGAAAGACGCTAAGACAGCGGAGGTGAGTGGAGGGGCAACTAGGACAAGGATTAATGGAGAAGAGCTTGCAACCAAAACTTTGCTCCTCTGGGCTGCTGAAGCATTCAAGTGCATGAAGCCATATACTGAGTGCAATGTCAACTCATAAAGCATTCCTATGCCTGTTTTAGAGTTGCCATAAATGTGGGGGGAGGAAATCTGGAGGAGCATGGCGGCAGTTTAAAACCAGAAGTACATTCCACACTTACCTTACAAAGATTGTAACTAAGCTACCAGACCTTCTGCCTTCGAAAATCATCATTTCAATAATCCTGACATGCACCTTGGACCATGTCCGAAAGTTGTGCTTATGTATGATTTTTGCAGATATATTTAGTGCCAGATTTGACTAATCTGTATTTATTCGAAGGCAGGTATGTGTGACTGACGTCAGAGAGAACCTTGTTCCTGCTCATCTTCTTGTGCAGAAAGTCAGATTGTGTGGAGAAACGGATGCCTTTTCTTGACAGTTGTTGGAAAACGCTGTTCCGTTGTGCGGGTCAGATTTCTGGGTTTGCAGTGCTTAATGCAATGATGGTTGTTTCGATACGCAAGCCTAAAAGTCCTGGCAGTTAAGCTTGGTAGCCTTCTCTTCCTACAGCAAACCTGAAGGCTGCAGAAGCTACTGTTTCATTCATCTTGCTTATCTTTTGTGACAGGAAGCCTACAACACAGTCGTGCGCTATTTTGGCGAGAGCCCAAAGACGACACCGCCCTCGGTTTTCTTTCCAGTCTTTGCCCGTTTCATCAGATCCTACAAGGTGAGGGTTGGGAAGTGGAGATTCGAGATCAAGTATTTTTCAACCTTAATTGCTAAGGTTGAAAAATGCTGTTCTGGCTCCTTTAGAAGCAACAGAACTGCCTGCTTGGTCCTGCATGAATGTGGGAGCCCAGTGATAAATGTCTCACACTAAGCTCTGCTGGACATGGTCCAAGAGAAGGGAGCTTTGGCTAGGACTAGGCATGGCCAGTGAATAAGGGAATTAGAACTTTCTTCCTGTGTGGGCTAGATTGAAGATCTCCGGAATGGAGATCTCCTGTGCCAGCTCACTCATCTCAGCCAAGAAGCTTTCCAAAATGTTAGCCTCCCCAGAGCATCTTCCAGAGCAGCCATCATCTGCATTAATTACAGACACCTCCCCATTGTTGGGACAAGCCATCACAGATCTAGGATCAGAGCTGACAAGCACAGCCCAGAAAGAGGAAGAGAATAGTAGGCCAGCTGGCAGGGAAACAACCAGATGGAGAGAGAGAGATGGAGAGAGAGATGGTTTCTTTAAGCAAATAAAGCACTTAGAATCAGAGAGTGCAATAACCTGGTGTCTTTATGGTTAGCAGCAAGGGTGGTTGCTACCAGTTCTCCCCGGTTCGGGCAAACTGTTCGCTAATTTTATGGCTGGTTCGGCGAATCGGTAAATTCCACCCCTGGCTGGCTCCACCCACCCCTCCCAGGAGTCCCCATGTGGCCCATTTTGGATGCCAGGTAAGTACAGGGCCTGCGCAGAGAAAAATGGGCCTCCCGGAGGCTCCAGAAGGCTGGAAACAGGCCCATTAACGGGCCTCCAGAGGGCCTCTGGAGCCCATGGAGGCCGTTTTTGCTCTTCTGGAGGCTCGCGGAAAGCCTCCGGAACCTGGGAAGGGCAAAAAATGGGCCTCCTGCCATGGTGCAGGATGCTTACTAAACCATGCCCACAATGGCCAAGCCCACCCAACAACCGGGCAGAGAACTGGTTGCTAAAATTTTTGAAGCCCACCCGTGGTTAGCAGTGGCATAAACTACTCTCTTATATCACTTGATTCAAAGTATGGGTAGTTCTTGGTTTCTGACAGTAATAGAGCCTGCCTATCATGGCCATGACAATCATACAATCGGTCACATGACAGAACTGATTTTACAACCTTTTGGGAGCAGTTGTAAAGCAGCCACCATGATCGTTAAGCAAACCGCATGGTTGTTACATGAACCATTGGTTTGCTGTAGGTGCAGTTTTGCAGAAAACTGGAATGTAAATGCCTGTTTTTGGCAAAACTGTTGTAAAACATGGTCACATGACGTGAGACACTGCAAACAGCCGTAAAGGCAGCCCAGTTGCTGAGCACCCAAAATTTAGTTACACGACCAGGGGAGAGGCAACCATTAAAACTTTGAATCCAGGTTGTAAGTAGCCCTCAGGAATAGATGCTGAGTGACGGTCATAAGTAGAGGACTATCTGTGTTGGTCAATGGTATTAATATGCCAGCTTGAGGTGTTCACAGTTGTTTCTCTAAGCAGTATTCCCAGTGGAATAGAGAATCAGGGCCTGATGTATTGACATAGCCCTTGCTGTAGACTGAAGCCCTTGAGGAGGCACCTGCCCTTTCAGAATTCATTAATACATTTATTATGGCAAGTTCTTTCTTGCTTCATCCCAAATGCAACAAAGCAACTGTACTACCGTAGGTAATTGGATCTGCATTTGTCACATTCATTTTAAAAAGTCTACGTTATGGGGAAATAGATTGAAGTTAAATTATAAGAAGAATTTCTTTTCTAAGGAATAGAAAAAAGAAGACAGGTCTTTTTTTAAAAAAAAACTTGAACATATCATCTTTCATTAAACAGTGTGTCACCTGTGTACAAATGTCTCTGTGCTATTACAATCAAAATTTACAATATTTGTTACATTGATAATACTCTAATCTTACAATAATAATAATCTGCATTGTAATTCTACTTCTTCCTCCTAACATATCTTCTAATTAAAATACAATATTATATTAGGTATAATAATCTTAATAATCATATTAATCATCATCATATTGCTTCCATCTCTATCTTAACATATAGTCTTTATTTCACTAATCTCCATTTATTTCTCACTTCTGTTTTTATTCTCCAACCATCCATAAAATAGCTTCCATGTCATATAATATTCAGTTTGTTCTTTCTCCTTTATAGGAAGAGTTAATCTGTTCATTGACATTAGGTCTTCTGAGCTTTCCAAGAAAAAAACCAGAGAAATGTCTGCTATGAAGTTCCTTAGCTTTATTCAAACAGGCATTTATCTTCATTTGTTGAATTACATTTGCCATCAGTCCTGGCCAGAATAATCCTTTCCTAAAATTGCCAATTGAAGTGCAGACAAAACCTACCAGGTGTATTTCATAGGGGAACTTGGCTTTCCAAAGTCTGGACCACACTTTCTTGCATGCTGCCACTATTTGGCTGTATAAATGGTAATAACCTATGGAGACAGATGCAAAGTGGTTCTTTTTTTTTGCATAAAACATATATAAACACAATAGAAATAAAGCACTTGCTCTCTAGACAGAAAATCTCAAGTTCAATCTTAGCATCTCTGGATAAAACAATCTGAGATAGCAGTTGGGCTGGAATAGAACTGTCCAGTCTGAGACCTTGGAGAACCAACTATCCAATAGGTCTAGTTGAGCTAGATTCCTTCTTTACATCCACTCTACCTGTCTGGCCGTTGATCAGTGCTTCTCTACCCTACAGTTGCACTGTTCTTTCTCTTTCAGGATGCAGAGCAAGAGAATGAACTGCGCAAGAAGCAGGAACAGGCCCAAAGGGAGCAGGCATTGGCCCAAGAAGCTAAGAGGCTAGAGAAGGTAAGAGATGCTCCAGGCAGGACATCGTGTTGTATGATTGGCGACAATTCGAGAAGCCACTTGTGTGTGTGTGCGTGTGAACTCACAGGAGGATTGTTTCATCATTATGTCTCATGGTCTTTGGTAGAGCTTCAACTTGCTTGTAATATATTTTATTATATCACAGTATCAGTTGCTACTCTTGGATGGTATCTCATTAGAGAATGGAAGGGCATCTAGCAAAGCATGGGATGCTTCACCAGAAAAGGTGCAGCCTACACCATCTGCACCTGCTTCTAGAATGGACCTCCTACTTGGTCTCTGCTTCTCTGTATTCTGACATGATCATTGGTTCCTCGTTAATGAGATGTTAGCTTTCCCATGGCTTTCTATCATTGTTAGGGTAGAAATAATAACAAATATAGATATTTCAGCCTGGGCTGCCTACTTATCTACAAATCTGTTCCCAGGGAAATTCTTGACCTTCTGACTCCATGGGCAGATATGAACCTTCCTTGGTGATAGAATGCCTTGTGGAGGAGCTCAGGCAGAGTCTTAGTCTCATATTAGTGTGTATTTGCACTAACAAATGATATTTGCAGATGGTGTCAGTCTGGGCTGACTCATAGTGTTGTGAATGAAAGGAAATCTGGTTGAATGAATATGAGATAAACTCCAATTTGGATTTCCCAACCTTCTTTTGGATCGGTCACAGAGCAGGATGTATGTTGGTCAGCAGGGGTGGGATTAAATTTCTTAACTGGTTCTGTGGGTGTGGCCTAATTTGTGGGTGTGGCTTGGTGGTCATATGACTGGGTGGGCATGGCTTGTATGTAAATATTGTAAATATTTATGTAAATATTGAATTTTTTATAAAAAAAGAACAACTTTTACCCAAAATCAGGCAAAGCAGGCAGGCAGATTGAGTTCCTCACAGAATCACAGAGATCTATCACTCAGAGATCTATCTTTCTGCAATCTGCTACCTGAGTTTACACTAAAAAATAGAAACTTCAGTTCTAAGGAAGGTTCAGCTCTGCTTTTAGATTAGTTAGAAAGCAAGAAATCCAACAATTTCCTGCTTTCTAGCTAATCTAAATCTCCCGGCACAGTTGATAGTCGGAACAGCTGGTGGTTGGGGGTAAAAAAAGGAAAAATAGCAACTTACCAAAAATTAGGCAAAGGCACAAGGCAGGCAAGTTGGATGGCTCATGCCAGGTAAGGAGTGAGTGGGCAGGGAGGGAAGGGGCGGGGCCAGCCAGTGGTGCAATTTGCCGGTTCTCCGAACTGCAGAACCGTAGCAACCGGTTCTATAGAACTGGTCTGACCAGGTAGAATCCCACCCCTGGTGGTCAGGCTGGGTGGTGTCTTCTGCTTTCTTCTTTTAATCCTTGACCAGCCTCAGTTGTCTTTGCAGCGCAACAAATGGCAGCAGCAAGAGTTAATTGCTGAGCTGAGGCGGCGTCAAGCCAAGGACCACAGGCCTGTTTATGAAGGCAAAGATGGGACCATTGAGGATATTATTACAGGTAACTCCTTGATCCTGTTACTTGCAATATATTTGGGTATTGGATCCTCTTAGCCCAGGGCCTTTCTGAACCTCATTACCTCCTTTCACAGGGAATCAGGCTTCAAAATCATTGATAGGGGATGACTGATAGGGGATGACGTTGTTTTAAGATCAGGCATGATATTCTTCCGATTAAAATCGGAATTCCGATTTTTTTGGGAATCGCCCCCCCTTTCCCCCCACCCCTTCTTCTCCTCCTTCCCCTCCCCTCGGAGGCCCCGAGTCAGGAGTTGCTGGCGCGGCTCCGCGCGGCTCCAGTCCTGCGTTGCCTCATGAAGGGAAAGGCAAAAAGGAAGAGCCACGGCGGCGCTTTGCAATGGCAGCAGCGGCTCCTGGTTTTGCCTTTCCCTTCCCGAGGCAACGCGGGATTGGAGCTGCGTGGAGCTGCACCGGCGGTAGCAACTCCTGACAGCCCCAGCCGGATACCTGAGCGGAGCCCGGGCGGTGCAAGCGGAGGCCGCTGAGCGGCAGGAAAAGGGAGCTGGGCCAGCCACAGACCAGCCTCCGTGCAACACGCCGCCGCCCGGCCCTGGCGAGGGAAAGCAGCGGGCGCTCCCCGGGCGCGCGGCGGGGGGTCTCTTTTGGCTGGCCCCGATTTTTTTTTCAGAGCGGAATATCATGCCTGTAAGATGTATTTCAGAAAACACCCATCCTGAACTGAAGCATGATTGAATCATATCAAAAAGCCCAAGAGAGCAGTAAAAACCAGTAGCTGGGGCTTCTGTAGCCACTGTTTCATCAGCAAGATAATTTTTTCTCATGAAGCTCTTAGCCCTGACTGATAAAACTGCTTCCTTTGCTTAAGTTTTGAATAAAGTTCCAGGACTTTTGTTTCCTTTGGCACTTTTTGTTACTCTTTGGGGATCAGTTGATGTCCTACCCTGAATCAACTGTTACGGGCTGCTACATCTGGGCTACAGAAATCTGCCCAACCATCAGAGGGCTGACATCATCTAGTGTAGAGGTCTCCAACCTTGGCAGCTGTAAGACTTGTGGACTTCAACTCCCAGAATTCCTCAGCCAACATTGCTATCTGAGGAATTCTGGAAGTTGAAGTCCTCACATCTTACAGTTGCCAAGGTTGGAGACCCCTGATCTAGTGAGTACCTGGATTTTTGCAGCTGAGGTCTAGAAGGCCTGGTCAGTTGTCAATCCCTGGCAACCTGTGGCCTTAAAGGCTTGCCTTCCGAAGTCCCCCTGGTGCCCACAGCTCTCTCTTCTTACCCACCATCTTATTCTGCTGCTTCCACATCACTAAAATTTTAGGCCTTGAGATGGTTGACCCCATGTTGTGAGCAGACTTTGGTTGATCTGAGAACTGCCAGACAGCTGTCGCTCAGCTCTGACAAAATAATTATAGGTGCTCCTTAAAAAGTGTGATTTGGAGTCTTCTCAAACCAGGAGTGGGGGTAAGGAAGGTGTTGATCTCCCTCTCCTACCCCGGGTGTTAGTAATCCATGTTTTTATGTGAGAGAAAGACAGTGAGAATGAAATGGTGTGAACTGAATGTCTCCTAATTACCCACTTAAAAGGTGTTCAACTCAGCCTGTCTTTTCATGCTTTGAGTACCCATAAACCTGCTTATTAGGGCAGAAGAAGAAAAAGCGGGCAGAGAGAAAACGTTGCTTTTCCCCCCCTGTCTTCGTTGGGAACCAAAAAAGCTAGTGAAATGATCAATTTTCCTGTGCAGAGGATTTCTTCCAAGCCGGCTCTGATGTGATGGCTTTGAGCCACTTGCCCTGGAAAGAACAGAAATGCCAGCTTTCCAGCATTGGTTGCATCGTTGTTGGTGTCTGCAGCCCTATGGGCCATGGTGCACATCCTTGGAGTGTCATTTCACACAGTTTTATCTTAAGCGGTGCACTGCATATTGAACAATCTATCTGACGTCTTTATGTCTCTGTCCATCCGTCCCTTCCCATCCCACAGTATTGAAGAGTGTCCCCTTCACTGCCCGTACGGCGAAGCGGGGGTCTCGCTTTTTCTGCGAGCCATCTCACCACGAGGAGCCCAACTGTTAGCTCCACTCACACACCCCCATCAAAGGTACCCACGTCAGTTGCGATCTCTTCTGCATGCAACTCCTTCTCTGCCACGGATCCCAAGAATTCCCCCTCGCATGCCTTCCCACCTTCTCCCATGAGCTCAGGGCTTCTCAACTCCTTCCCCTCGACCTGTTCCTGCTCCACAGAAACAACCTCCCCCTCTGTGCAAGAACAGAATTGCCCTGTGGAATTGGCAGCAGTTGCTTAGAAATCCCAACAGCAGCTGATACCCTTGGGGATCTGCCTTCCATGTCAGAGGTTGAACAAAAAAGGTGCGTGGGGGAGGGGGGAACTCCAGCAGGGTCGGCTTGACCATCTCCCTGCATAATGACCTTGCCAGAATTCCTGTCCCCCCATTTCTTCTGAAAAAAAACACACCATTCTATTTCTCTTTAGGCATTGGCTCAGACCAGAGCTTTTTTTCCCCATAAATACTCATTTTCAGACTCACACCCTCCCCGCTAACTTTCTGGTATTTTCGAAAGAAAATGCTAAATAATAATAACTTTAAAAGGACCACTGAGCCCTCCTAAAAAATGTTGATGCCCCCTTGCCCTTCACTGTTGAGAATCCCTGCATTGACTCAACCCATTTTTCTTATCCCTGCATGGTTGGCATGACAAAATTATCCCGGATATCCTCTCCTGATTGCATGTTTCAGCCTGTCATCTGTTCCCAGGATCACCTTATCGCATTAATACAGTATACTAGCTGACTAAATCGACCCTTGATTTAGAGGGATGGGGTTTGGGGGTAGCTGGTTCTGCTGAAACACTCATCGGGGGTGGCAATGGTATCTGCTTAGCGCCTAATCAAGAAAACCTCCCCAAAATCAGTTTCTGCTGGACTTCTGCTGGAGGCCAAAGTATGCCAGTGGCTCATTGTTTTGCTAAAGTTAGACTGCATCAGTTTAGATTGTAGATGTGGGGTCTGTAGGTTTTAAGACTCACCTAAACATCCTGGGGTGAAGAAAAAGGGTGTGCTTTGATGACTAAGTTGAACATTGGCTGCGACCATTGGGAAACTGGCCTTTGGCTCGGTCCTGGATGCTGCTGTCCTATACAATGTGAACATTGTAAACTCCCCAGAGAGTGCAATAAAGCAATATGGGGCGGTATATATAGGTAGTCCTTGTCTTACAACCACAATTTAGTCCAAAATGTACATTGTTAAGTGAGACCTTTTGTTAAGTGAGTTTTGCTCCATTTTACGACTTTTCTTGCCACATTTGTTAAGTGAATCACAGTAATTGAACAGTTAGTACCCTGGTTGTTAAGTGAATCTGACTTCCCCATTGACTTTGCTTGTCAGAAGGTTGCAAAAGATAGTCACATAAGCCCAGGACACGGCAACCATCATTAACAGGAACCAGTGGCCAAGCACCTGAATTTTGATCACATGATCAAGGGGATGCTGCAAAGGCTGTAACTCTGAAAAATGATCATAAGTCACATTTTTCAGTGCCTTTGTAATTTTGAACAGCACTAAATAAACTGTTGTAACTTGAGGACTACCTTTATAAGTCTAAGTGCTATTGCTATAGTATTGCTATTTGCTGGATTGTGATAATCTGAAATTAGGCTTAATTAGGCCTAAACTCATATCGCTAACCCAGCTCAGAAAGCACCAAGGATGCCACAGTTAACCTCATAGCTCTTCCTGATGCAACTATATAATCAAGTGCTCCTAGCCAAAGGAATATATTAGTTCAAGGCAAACCAGGTGGCAGAGGTTTGACGTCTACCATAGAAATACAGAAATGCGTAAATCCAATACACTGTTGGAGGAGAGAAACATTTTCTTTTCCTTTTCAATCACCCAGTTCCCAAGGTTCTGTTGAATGGAAAAGAGAGAAAGAAAGCAATTTTAGTCATGTCTAAATGATTCCGTTTGAATCCGGGCGGTTCACTCCCAGAAAATTGAGAAATGAATTGTATTCTAAGTACGTGTTTTGGAGAAAGAGAAGCTGAAACTGGAAGGAGGCATGCCCTAGCTTACGATTAGCGTAGTTGAAGTATCCATAGATCTTCCAGACCACCTGCCGAGTCATCTTTTGGCTGACCCTGTTTTTGAGTCAAAAGAAGCAGAAAAATGTTTTCTAGTTTCTGAAGGAACCTCTTCAGAACTTTGTCTTTTTCCATATAAGGACTGGCTAGGCAAAGTGGGCTCAAAGCAGAAAGTTGAGCGCGCTAGAGGCTCACTCAAAAGAGGGAAACGGGGTCCTTTTAAAGCAGGGGGTGGTCTCCAACCTTGGCAACTTTAAGACTTGTGGACTTCAACTTCCAGAATTCCTTTGCTGGCTGAGAAATTCTGGGAGTTGAAGTCCACAAGTCTTAAAGTTGTCATGGTTGGAGACCACCCCCTGCTTTAAAGGATGTCAGGTCATAGCTGATTGGAAAGGCCTTCCTCACTTTGAGATGTTAGCCTGGGCTAGTGAGCTATTTCTACTAAGCAGCATGCAATATGATGTTTATGGACAGGTAGGGAAATCTGCACTTCAGATTTAGCCATGTAGTTTAGGAGTTGGCCTTATACAAATGGGCCTCTTTCTACTTCAGTGTTTGCTGCAGGAGGGGAGATAATTCTGAGTGATTTTTCAGATTGTCATAATCCAGAAAACAGCAATAGCACTTAGACTTATATTCAGCTTCATAGTGCTTTACAGCATTCTCTGGGTGTCTTACAGAGTCAGCATATTCCCCCCCCCCCAACAGTCTGACCCCTCATTTTACCAACCTCAGAAGGATGGAAGGCTGAGTCAACCTTCAGCCAGTCAGGATCAAACTCCAGGATGTGGGCAATGAGTTAGCCTGCAATACTGCATTCTAAGCACTGTGCCACCAGGGCTCCCATAAGGCTAAATGTGCAGTGTTTTTCCAGTCTTTATGTACTCCTAGAATGTCTTGCATGGATAGAAAATAGTTTTCCTTCTCTTTCCCGTTGCCTTGCTCTTGGTTTAAAGAATTGTCTAAGAATTTTTGTTCTAATCTGTCTCCGTAGCAGCAAGAACCATTTGCCTCTAGTTGCCCCTCAATTCGTCCACAGCAGTGATTAAGAAAACACAGCTCTCTGGAGTCCTGGAGCCTAATTTCAGCTTTGGTGTCTACATGGATTAACAACAACCAAAGATTTGCACTTGGGCACCAAGTGAATAAGTAGACTTGGCAGTTGCTTTATCCCCAACTCTTTCTACTGGAGGAAGGCGGAAGTCCTTTTTTAGTCAAAGGACAGCACCTGTAAGGGGAAAATGTTGTATCCGTAAAGCAAAATGCTTCATTAGGGGCTAGAAGGGTGTAGCCTTGATGGGTTGTGAAAAGCCCTCTGGGGGACGTGAATAGTGGTTTTGTCATCTGCCTTCTTCCACCTCAACTGGCAGCAAAATGAACTAATTTCAGAGCATCTGCCAGAGAATTGCGCAGCAGGTGTCCTTTGGAAGTCAGGGACACTGATGCGAACTTGTAGTTTTATATAAATAAATATTTTACACACACACACACACACACACACACACACACATATCAAACAAGAGAGTCAGGCAAACGGGCATCATGAGGTAAATCACAGAGCACCTGGGGCACACAGAAGAAAAAAGGCGGGGGGAGGGAAACTCCCCCTCACTCTTCCACACCCACAGCAACCCAAACCAGTGCAGATTGCCTCACGCAGCAGCCAGCAGTCTCCAATCGATCCCCTCTAACTGTATAACGCAGGGGTCTTCAAACTTGACAGATTTAAAACTTGTGGACTTCAACTCCCAGAATTCCTCCTCTAGGCATGTCAGCTCAGGAATTCTGGAAGTTGAAGTCCCCAAGTCTTAAACTTGCCGAGTTTGAAGACCCTTGGTATAATGTATCTGGCTCATTGTACCAACCCCATTGTTCCAGCTACTAAATTTAAATATCTGAAGAGCATCCCTCGCTATCCCTCATTCGTGGACTCCCTGCTTCCTTTCTGACCACCTTTTCCTTTCTCCTGTAGATTCTTACATGCCCTGCCTTTCCAACTGGCGAATGCTGCACTCCGGTGGCCCCGACCTTGTTCTTTTTTGCCAAAGAAGCAACTTCCGTTCTTTCAAAGACTTTCAACTGAAGGATCCAAGGGACATTTAAAAAAGTGCCTTCCCGCAACAGTATTATTCTTACTCTTTTATAATTTAAGATGTATTTTTTTAATCTGTACATAACATGTTCCTTCCTACCAGTCCCTTTGCTCCTGCAGCCCATCAATAAGTCAACTTGGACAGATGAGACTGTTCTGGCTTTTGAGAAGGGCCCTGCGCGGCAGGAGCCTGGCAGCCTCCTCTAGCGCCTCAAGCCTCAAGCATCCAAACCAGAATTGCACTTTGACCCTTCAACTTGTCTTTAATGGATGGAGACAATGAGCACTATTATTGCTAGGCCCTGATGTGTTGCAGCAGGGAAAAATCAGTCTCTGGTAGTAGGCCTTTGTATACAGATCAGGCCTTGTGGAGAAGCTTTGTTGTTGTTGTTGTTGTTCAGGAGCAGTCTTCTGCAATTATGTGGTTTTCTTAGAACAGGCTGTGAGAGCTGACTCTGGGAGTTTGAAAGCTAGGCCTTGGTGGCCTTGCAAAACCACTGGAACTTTTCTTCCAAAGGGGGTGGGGTGGGTGGGGTGTGTGGGGAAATCAGACCAAAGTCTCATGTCTCAACTGCACAAAAGTAACTGTGTTGATACAGCAGGGAACTGATAGTGGCTAGCCAACCCTTTGGGGATCTCAAGAAACATCCTGGGTAGGTTACAGACTATCTCATTTTTTTAAAGAAACTCTTGCTATTTTTCCAAAGGGTGAAAATCTGCTTCCTATTTGTATGTGGCATGTTCTACTCAATTGTTTTTTTTTTTATATTTGGTGGACCAAACAAAACGTAGCACTGCCTATTATGCTTATTGAAGCTTTCAAAATAAGTAGAAATTAAGTTATGCATGAAGGTTATTCTTGATGAATTGGGCCAAGTGGTTTTAATTCATGAATGAGATGGGGACTGTTTTTTATTCATTGAATGAAAGGTAAATGGCATCATTTCCTATCATCATCAAGAAGAGAGAAAAAATGGGGCAGAATTCCCTGAACTACATTGGAGTAAGCCTTTTTAAAATGGAATTCCTCATAGTTTCAGGAGATCCTGCACTGAAAAACTTATCTATAAATATTACCTCATGGCTGGATTGATTCAACCTGGTTACTGAAGTAAACAATCTCTGGGTTATCATAATATGTTGAACCAGAAACTATGGGATAGGATTAACATAGCTCACTAAACCACAAACAAACCATAACTGACATGAAGGCCAAACTTAACAATTTATGCAAATATAGCCATTGAATCTTGAACTAAGTTGTTTATGAATATTATGTGAGCCAAGAGATAGAACTCATTTATCTCCCCCATACCTCCTCCTTTAAGGTTGTCCAGGTTGGAACTATCTCAAATTCAACATGCATTTGCAATAATTGTTGTCCTGATGTTTGAAACTAGGCTTGTTGTTTCAGCCTGGATGCTTTGAGACAATTGCTTTAACTTCTCTTAAGTTGCCCGATAACTTTTGACCAAAGATTTTGAGGTATTAACAGTTTAGGATAAAGCCACTTGACAAATGGTTAGGTTCTTCAACTGTTTTAATTCAGAGAACCAACTTGACTCCTTTTGTGTTTTACAGCACTTTTTGCAGGTAGGAAATTAATAGGGCTTCTGTAGATCAGTCTTCTTCAACTTGGTACCATCCAGATGTGTTGAACTACCCTTTTTGAGGGAGTCAGCATGGCTAATTTATTTGGAGTCTATAAAGTTGGCAAAGGTGATACAGAGTTTAATTCACCAAATAGACCTTTAGATGAAGTTGCCTCCACTCTAGCATTATGAAGCTGTGTCTGCTTCTGAAGCCTTAATCTAGAGATCATTTACTATTCTTGTCTTATGGACATTTATGAACTATGATTTTAACTTCACAGAAGAGTATTTGCCTAACAGATTGCACCCGTATAATGTTGCCCCCCATAAGACATGAGGATAATTGGGGTTATTAAATAGCTGTGATGTCTTGGGCAATTACACAAAAGGTCTCTTGGATCAGACACACCTGCAGCTATATTGAGCATTTGTTTTGCCAAAAGTATCCTTTGTATGAAGTTCCTGTATTAAACTGTGCCAAAGAATTACCATGGTTCCTGCGACCAATCCAGTGCCTTATGTGGAAAATAGAAGTGGGCTCCATTGGGCCTTAGGTGCAGGCCTTTATGAATACAGCCAGCCTCCCCTTGATCTTGCCTTTCTTTCTTATGTTGTAACAGCTGCTTATTCTTCAGAGTCCTCCGTTCCATGATTTCTAGGTCTGCTAGGAACATCAGGCCCACGGGTTCTACTCTTATTTGGGAAGTAGAGAACTTCTGAACTACCCAGAAAGTTCAGTCCCATTGAGATTGCTGAGAAGGGAGGCTTTGTGGTAAAGTGCAGAGAGGTGGATACAGGTGTATGGCCTTCATTCATCTCCTGCATGCAACTCTCAGGGCCACAGTGCCTGTACACCCAGAAAAAGGGTGTAAACCTCTGGCAGGTTTAGCATGCTTGGTAAGATTTCTCCTTGTGGATTTGAATTTTGTTTCTTAAGGCCAGTGGTTTAGGAGATGGCTTTGAATTTCAAGAGAAATCCATATCTGTGCCAAGTGCATGGTTTGTATCAGTGAAAATTTCAGGTTCTACTTTTAGAGTGATCTCAGATGGCTGGGAGAAGTCACTTTTCCTGTGATATTCTTGGAGAGGTGCTGCAAAAACGGAGTTGCTGGATGATAAGCCAATGGCCTGACTTTCTGATGCTTGTCTGCACAGGGAAAGCCACGTCGGGGAGGCATAGGACTGTAGCCTTAGCATGATATTCAGACTCCCCCACCCCAGATTTAGAACAGGGCACAACAAAGGTGAATGGATCGCATAGTGTTAGCACTTTATGGAATAGAACTCTTGATTCTCCTTCCTTCCTTCCTCCCTCCCTCCCTTTTCGGTATACTTCATCATTCCATTCCTTCTGTGACAGTATATGGAAAAGGGGAGAGGGGGGTTGCCTTTTATTTCTGGTCCCTTAATATAAAATTTTGAGTAAATTCTTCTAACATTAAACACAGTATTCAAAATTCTAGTATCGTTTCGGGGGTGGGGAGGGGGGTTAATAGTATGGTTAAGATAAAATCTCCCACCAGCCAAATACGAACCAGCCACCTCTGCTTGGGGATAGGGTGGGGTGGGGCAGAGAGAAGGTTATGCTACATTGTCATTGCTTCTCTCAGTCAAAGATGTCCTCTGCCTCTTATACCTGGCAAATTGTGACTAGCATAACATTTCCTTACCTCTTCATCCACTACAGTGTTTATGCATATGAAAACCACTGGCTTAGGGACACCTCCACTGACTCAGTCACACTTACTTGCTTAAAGAAGGGGGAGTGTATCTAACCCCTAAAGCAGGGGTGGGCAAACTTTTTGGTTCGGGGGCCTCATTGACTTTTAAAATTTGACAGACGGGCCGCCACCTGGTGTCGAAATGCCTGTCATTACAAGTCAAAATCAAATGAATGCAGTCATTCAATCATTCACATCAAACCGTAATTCTGTACCAATCTTCGGCGGGCCGGATTAAAAAGACCAACGGGCCAGATGTGGCCCGCGGGCCGTAGTTTGCCCACCCCTGCCCTAAAGTGATGAGTATCCTTTGATTAATGTGTAACTCTATTCCTGGCCCCGTGGTTCTCTTATCTGTGTGTCTTGTTGCAAAGAGGAAAATAAACATGCCGAGAGAGCTAGCTATCCCATTTCTATCTGTTCTTGTTGATGGGACAGCACCTTGTGAGAATGGATAGCACCTTGTCTTAACCTTAGTGCTGCTTCTGTGTAATTGTACTCCTGATCCACTCAGCAAACTACATTGAGACTTAGCTTACTGGTTAAAAACACGGAATTCTGCTCCCAGTTGTCATCAAGATGTTTCACTTTGTGTTTTGAGCATTCGTGGCTCTTTATTTATAATCACTTAATCAAGACCTATAACTAGTAAAACGTTGTCTCAGATGCCCACCATCCAAGAGCATCCATCCAAGATCAGGCAATGAAAAGAATTAAAGTACAAATATCTGTATGTACTGTATGTGATTGAGACAGAACAATAGTGTACAGGAATGGCTGAGAAAAGTTAAGTTAAAACAGTGGAGAGAGAGTGGGGAACCACAATTAGCCAAGCTTCTGAATGTGTGCCAAAAACTCTGAATTTGAACGACTGCTGAGTAATGACTTGATAAAGGCCGGAAAGTGTGTAATGCATGCAACCCTCAAGCTTAATATAAGGGTAAGGGTTGTTTTACTCTCAAACCCTTGGACAAAGAACAGGAGCAAATTGCAAGTAGCATTGCAAAGGTTGGGAGGGGGGTTGTCAGCATTATCTCTAGGTAGCTCCTATAAAGGCTATTTTTTAACATACCACTCCAGGCAGAATTACAAAACTCATAACCTCAACATCTGTGCAGCTAATTTGATTCAGGGTTTGTTCAGTCTTGGTTACTCTCTTTTAACTACTTAACTTGCAAGGAGGCTCAGAGAACAAAGATTCTTCCTTATCTTGATGTTCAATACCATCAGGCATATTTTTAGATTGCTTTCACATATTCACTTGGAGATAAAGGACCCTGAACACAAGGATGTCCATTTTGAAGCTGCCTGGCCTAGAACTGCATTGTGAATGCTAATACAACACGTCATCTCAAACATCGATGGCTTAAAGCTATACATTCGTGGAGTGAACCCACTATACATTTGTGGCATGAATCCACACACAATGCATATGCTTTTCATGATCAATGTGTCTTAACTGTAATAGCACCATGGCTTATTCCTTATAGAATGACAGCAGGAACTTTATGCTGCTTCTACATCCAAGGGGCTCAGGATAGTGTCCTGTATGTATGCAATTATTGGGGACACCCAGGAGGGCAACTTATGCCTGTCCTTCCAAGACACATTTGGATGGCTGCACTTAGCAACAAGATGATGGGTGTCTCCCTGGGAAGGTCAGCACACATCGGTCCTCTTCGGAGAACAGTGGCATTGTGAAAACAATCAGTAAAAGCAATGCATGCACAATTATCTTGAGGACATGTAGTGGCTAGTTTGCTTTTCGTCTGGCACAAGGGCCAGACATCAAAGCTTCCAGCTGCAGTGCAGCCAAAGGACAAAAGACATCTGTCATTCAGAATGTTTGCTTTTTCCAGCATGGGAAATTAAGATCCAGCTTGTAAAATGAAAACTGTCATGAAAAATTTCAAGTGTGAAAAAAACCCTTAGAACTAAGAATGAATTTGACACTATTTCAATGCTATATTGAAAACCTGGGGAGAAAGTTGGGGTTGAAGCCACTTCGATTTCTGAAGCAAACACTTAATATTGTCCTCCAATAAGCCAAGTGGGACCAATTCTCCACTCTGCTTTCTCCCAGAGGTTTCTGACCCTGTTCATGGCAATGCTAATTCCAAGCAGGCAGGAGTATTCTTGGTGTTACTTCTGGACAGTTTACAGCATAATCACTTCAGCATAGTCCTTTTGTGTAGCTAGATGTAACTTTTTTGTACATGTGAAAATTATTGGTTATACTGTAAGCCAAATACCTTCCTTCCTCTTGAACTGTACAGAATTTCTACTAATGGGAGAAGGAGGAAAAATAAAACAGAACCAAAGGCTATACACCTTTGCATTTATTGCCAATTAATGTTGTCTTTTCACCTCCCTGGTTTGTGCGATTCCACCCCCCCCCCCGCCAAAAACAAAGCAAAACACCTTACAGTTGCTCAATTAAGAGATGCCGAATGGAATATATCAGTATGCCTTGAGAAAGCTACTAAAATGGTCAGACCCATCTCTGAAAGTTTCGAATTTCTTGGGATTCCTAAATATACTTTGAAAAGAGGTCAAAATTCTCTAAAGTCACTTTTACTGAAGTTCATCTTCTCTGAACCAGAGAGGGTAGCCATTATCTAGTCCAGGGGTGTCAAACTCAAAGCCTGAATCCAGCCCGCAGGGCCACCCTGGAAACAGCAAAGGACTGGAACGCAGTGCCTTGGCCTGGATCAGGCCAACTGGGTGCTGATCTACAATCTGGTGGCAATTGGCATGTCGGAGGAGGCTGTGGCAGCTGAAAATGGAGCTCAGCCCTCCTGAGCTGTTTTTGCTGGCAGAGTGCTAGCAAAACAAATTACTACCAAAAGTGGCATTTGATCACAAGGCAAGGAGACACCGAGAAATGTCTCTCCTTTTGCATTTCCATGCCCCCCCACCTACACCACCACCACCCCCCGCCCTCAAGATCAAACACAACCCTGATGAAATATGAATTTGACACCCCTGATCTAGTCAATTGGGAGGTCAACTTTTGAGAAAAAGCTGGCTTATGAAAAAGAAATTGTAAGGGAACAATTTGTGGAAATAATCTAAGTACACGTAATAAATTCGAGTACATGATTATAAATACGGAAGTATGCCACCCATCAGTTTAAAATGTGGAAATCAGCAATCTGATCAGCATTTTTAGCTTGTTTTATTCACACAATGATTATGGATGAATTTCATGCTCACTTTATATACACCCAGCATGGCTACTTTGCCACATGTACCAACTTAGGATATTTGCATATCCTCTCTTCCCTTTTTTAAGGATATACCTGCCAGCATACCTCCAAGTCCTCTGTTATTTTGGGGGATTAGATCCAGTCCAATAGGTTATGAAAATATTCTTTTGAGGTTTTTTTTTTCCTAAAATCATTTGGAACCAATATAAACTAATTTTCTACAGGAGGCCACAGATTGGTATTTTCAGTCCAGATTTATTATAAATATTGTTTTAAAAATTCCATTAAATCCTTAACTCACAAGGGGATACCGCAACCAGGGAAAAGGATCCAGTCACAGTGATAACCTTCCAGAAGACCATGTAGCCTATTCCTGTCTTCAGATTAGACAAGACTGACGCTGTATTTTAGCTGTTTCCTGCCACCATTTTGCATCTAGGCCAAAGGAAGCTCTAGGCTAGAGTGGCCCTGGGTGAAGTCTGAGTGGAGACAGACCTCATTCCTTCCGATGCTCAGGTGCAATTCCCCCAATCTTCTGCTGGATGATCCAAGAGCCGGGTTTCAATTTTGGTGATGCCCTCCAGATGCACACCTGAACTTTCCTCCCTGTCCTGATGCTTGATGTAGACAGGTAGTGTCGCTGGAGATGACTGCTGCCAATGGGCAGGAGCAGCTGCTCCCCTCTTAGAAGCAGGTGAACGTAATGAAGAAGACTGTGACCCAACGTGCGGGGTCCAGCAAGAGCAGTGCATACACTTGGCTTGGAGGCCACCAAAGCCAAAACAAGGCAGAGTTGCCACAGGAACAAGGACTGAATGCTTCTCATACATTGGTGTTGAGGGGGTGCCTCAAAAGAGGCAGGGGTCAATTACTGGTCACCCAGTTGCTGCAGCAGAGTCCGACGCCGACGTTCCAGCTCCCCTTCGCTCAGCTCCTCGCTCTCTGAGGTGTCCCAACCACTCTGACAGCAGAAAGAAGGCAGGTAAGAATCCCTCATCCAGCCTTCCCTCCAAGCCTTCCTTTTTTCTATCTTCCTCCATCCTCCATGTCCTAAAGCAGGGATGTGCAATTCCCTTTACATGGCCCCTAGAGCCCCAAGAGATCGAGACTGCTGAAAACAGAGAGCAATTCTTGTCATTTTGAGGATGAAACATATTACTATATTTAAAACATATTACTATATTTAATATATATATAAAAAACCCATATCTAACCCAAATTCCACCCTAATCGTCCCACCTATTTGTGGTCTTCGATTTCCCACCCGAAAGGGTTAGGACAGGGCTGGGGAATTATGGTCCTTTTATGATTTGTGGACTTCAACTCCCAGAATTCCATGCTGGCTCAGGAATTCTGGGAACTGAAGTCCACGAGTCATAAAGGAGCCATAGTTTCCCACCTCTTGGGTTAGGAGAAGCCATTCCTAGGCTGGGATTCTGCTCGCAACCCCCCCCAAGTCTCACCCGCTCCCTCCGAGTGCCCCGGGGAGGGGAGTGGCCCCTCCCCTCAGGTCGCAGAGGCGCCTTCCCTCGCTCCCACTCTTCCGCCCGGCTTGGCTCCTTCTTGTGCTCAGCTTCGCTTTCAGGGCTGTTCTGTAAAAGAAATGGTTTGCAGGGTGGGTGGGGCCTGGGAGGAGGGAGCCTGGGTGACCGGCCCATTTGGTGACAGAAGGCTAGCACAACCAAGGAAGGCAAGTGAGCCCCAGAGATTGTAACCCAGCAATGCAGATGTTGAGATAAAACGGTTGCAAAGTACTCTGCCAAGTGGGTTTGATGCCACTTCAGAACATGTGTCCCTTCAGCCCTGGCTGCTCCCTTGAATCCCCAGATAGTGTTACCTGCTCCTACTCTGTGGGCCAAGACCCGTGCAAAGGGAGCTGCCAGGGGAATGCCCCCCTTTTTTTCCAAGAAGCTTGGCTTTATGCGATTAGTCCTTTTCCATCTGGATCTCTCCCCTTGCCTCCCTTCTGCTGCCACCGCCTACTCACCGACTTGTGGCGTTTCTTCTTGCTCTTCTTCTTCTGCCTCTTGGCACGCCTGGGGCTGTGCTCTGAGGGAAGACAGAAAGTTTTGTGCAGACAGGGAGGTGGGCCATCCCAGCTTTCCCCTGGGATGACCTCAGCCCACTCCCAAGCAGTGATGCCACGGCAGCAGGCCAAGGATCTTGCAGACATCCTGGGACGGTGGCCGAATATTGGGGGATGGGGTGATGCAGATGCTGCCTTATCAATGGATTTTTCTGATCAAATTAAGGAAGAGCAATTTGCATGCTGTGGGAGCTTCCTCATTTTTACAGTCTCAAGAACACACTGCTGAAAGTTGTACTGGTTTTTTAGCCCATCATTTTTTATGAGTTTTAAAACAAGTTAAAATAGGTATGTTGTGACTCCAGTAGTGTTGCCTGGGATGGGGAGGTTTTGTCAAATGGGAGAGCCTGATGAAAATAATGTGTTGTGGGCCCAGCCCGTTTTGAACATAATTCTTGACATTGTGCAGATGTCCCAAACGGATAGAGCTCACAGTCTGACACCACAAAGCTTTTGTCATTTGGACAAAAACGACAAGAGCCACAGACAACTTTCCTAAGCCTGACCTGCCCCTTCTTCTCTTAACTGTCCACAAGTGTTATGCAAAATGTGAAAACACATCCCCAAAATTTACTCCCTGAACTTTCTCTACATCCACAACATGTTGCTGTGGCCCTTGGAGGCTGAAAAATATATTCATCAAAGACAGAAAGTGCGACTGCTAAGTGACAATAATGTTGCCTGTCCTAAACAAGCCAATGCCTGTGGATTTGTTTTTTAGAATTAACATGTTTTTTCCCCCCCAAATACAAAGCTGAGTTTCTCGTAAGGGCTTCTATTCTATGGAGCTAAACAGTTTCTCATCCACTCCAAGCCTTACCTGAGTCAGGTGAAGATGAGGCCCCCGCGGAACCTGCGGATTCTGAGTGGTTTCGTTTCTTCCGCTTGGCTGCTCGGTGGGGATGATCTGAGCCCGATTCTGAGCCCTGCAGGAGGAAAAAGGACTCACCAGACAGCCATGGCCAGAGGAAGAGCAGAGAGAGCAGGGTGGGTAACAATGGATGGTTGTTTTTTTTTAAAAAAAAGATTTTTTTAAAGAAAATTAAATCGGGTTGTTTTGATTGTTATCAGATTTATTTTAATAAAATGCTTTAAAATGGAGTAACAATCTATCTAAAGGTAGTTTTCTATTTAAGATACATTAATAATTTAGTTTATTCAGCATGAAACGGAGCTCAGTTATGCGGTATATGTAGTATATTCTGCAATATTTACATTTTTGTAAACTCATTCAATGAACCCAAGCTCTGCAATATTAAAGATTCTAACTACCAGCAAGAATTACATTGAAAGAGCACTTGTCATTTCAGATCCATCAGGGCAGTGCCTGTTACTGGGCATCCACTCACCTGCTGCCTGCCACGTCCCTCACCTTGTTGTCTCAGTGCCGCATCACCAGCCGTCCCATTAAAGTGAATGGGACTGTCGGTGAGTCAACAGCGGGTCAGAGGAGGAGCTGCTGCAGGACAGAGATGACAGTTGCTCTTTAAAAATTATCATTTAGAGCAACTCGATTTAAATCAAGCCTTTTTACTAGTGATTTAAATCAACTTGATTTAACTCAAATCCACCCTGGGAGAGAGTCACAGGAAAAAGAAATAAGCCAAAGTAAAGATGAAATCTATCGAGGAAGAGGAGCAGGAAAGGATCAGGCCAAGCTGCTGCATTTTTGTGTTAGCAAACAGCACAAGCCTAGATCTTGAACCAGCTTATCATTATTCATCCTGTACAACAGCGACCAGATTGCAGAACTCATTCCCACACCGGGCAATCTTCTCATTAAGATACCTTTTCCTAAGCTAATTTCCTCCAACTCTTGTCAGTCCTCAGACAAGGTGTCTTCAAAGCTGGGGAGGTGTCTAAAAGGTCTTGATCAAACTTACCAACCCTTGCCAAGTAAGAGATCATCCCTCCTGCAGGTCTAAGGTGGCACCTCTGGCTTCTTGTCCCTCATCCTACTAACCACCCCCCCTCAAGGCCCTTGAGTTTTTCTGGCACAGAGTGGGCATCTGCCTTAACAGCAGTGAATAGGATGGAAGAGAAAGCTTTGGAGGAATAGGAATAAATGGCAGTTTCAATTTGAAGCTGAAATGCCATTCCCAAAACTGAAAAGCTCAAAGTGTGAAAATGCCCCTTTTTGCATGGGAAATATGTTGTTTTGAGCATTTTGGAAGTGTTTCGAGATCACAGCAGACTACGTCTCACTCAGAGCACAGCTGTTTCCGATTCAAGATACTTTCAAGATGCTCTAAATAGCCTGACTTGCATCTGAGACAAGGTGCTCCAAATTCCAAGTGGATATGATGGAAATCTGCACCTGCAGCAGCAGAGGGGCAGGATCTGGCCCACTCAGAGCTTTCCCAGAGAGAGGCCTGGATTAAGAGACTGCGCAGTCCTAAAACGGAGGGAGGGAAGAGATTCCTCACAGTCCCTGGCCTAGAAGTTCTCGGGATATATCTAGTAGCCTAGAAGTTACAGCTTTAGTTCGGCAAGATTCTGTCAAGATTTAGTTTGGCAAGATTTGTATGAGCAAAGCAAGGACTGGGCTTAATTGGATCTCACTGCCTCGTCTCTGGGACTGAGCCCGACAGTAGCTTAGTTCAAAGCCCAGGGGAATCCAGCCGCCCATGATCAACATTTTGTTTTTGTTTGCGCACTCCACTGAGTCTGTCCTCCCCAAATCTCACCGAGGCAGAGTGCTTGCGATGATGTTTCTTTGGCTTCTTGGCATGCTTCTTGGCCTTCGTGTGGAAATGCTGGCACTCACTCTGGGGAAAAAGGAAGACTGGGTTACTTTGAAACGTGGCCTTCCCAGCCACTGTCTTCTCCTCCCCTAAACTCCGCTGAAGATGTGACCTAGCCTGGTGACAAAACATTTGGAATCCAACCCACAAGCTCAGAGAACGAACCTCTACCTTCATTCTACACCAGAGCTACAGCCACCATCACAAACTGTCTTCTCTATCCTCCTTCAACGCAACTCTACTTACTGGTCCCATGGGGTTTCAAGCAGATTCCCTGGCTGGGATTCAACTGCTCTGCCAGGCCCAAACATGAAACAGGGGCTGCTCACCTCCAGCAACTGCAGGAATTCACGAAAGAGGCGGATCCGTTCCGATTCGAGTGTGATCTGCTCAAACGCAATATTGTTGACAAACTGCTCTCTGACCTGACCAAGAATAAGAAGCACATATCACATCCTTTCCTGGGATATGCAAGATTTTTGGGGGAGATTGTGGGATTTCCAATCTTACTGATGGCAGGAGGTTCCACCGCTGTATTCAAATACAAACATTTCAAGGGATAACTAATTGGTGACAGACCTCAGAAGCAACTCCTTCCCAAACCACATGCTGCTAGAAGAAGTTAACATTTCTCTGTGAGCCCATGGGGAAAAAAGGGGGGATGCCTTTGGGCCTAAGCCACTGTTTTGCTACTTGCTCACTCGACCATGGGAGATTTCCAATTTCTCTTAAAAGTTGATTTGGACAGAAGCATCCATTGTTTTGAGACAAAGTTACAAAAAATGAGGCTGCCAAGTGTATCCTGGTAGGAATCCTGCCTTCTTAGGCTGGCCTTCCTCCACTATGGAGGCACCCAGGAGCAGAGGGGTGGGTTTCTCCATGGGTGGGAAATGCCCATGTCCTAATGCCAAAAGATACATTCAACAGTTGGGCCGATTGTTCTGTTATTATCTAGATGTAATCTGCCATCCTCTTCCTTTAGCCTCCATTTGACACTTGGATGGAAAGCCAGCCCTGCAAGGAGCAGAAGATCTCACCTCATCCCAGGCGGTATTGGGCTCCAGGGGAGGAGCTGCCAGACGCAACATGCTCTTGAAGGCGGCCTCCTTCCGCCGCATCTTCCGGGTTTCCTCCTTTTCTCGTTCACGCTCCCGTGCCTCAGCCTTTTCCAGCAGCTGGGGGGTAGGGGTGGGGGTGGAGAGGCAATGGGAGAGAACTTTTACCACGAAGCATTCTTATCATTAACAGATCTCCTCAGTGGTTCACAACTGCCTCTGATGTCAGAGCTTTCTTTTATTTTATGTATTAATATCCCGCCTTTATTATTTCTACAAATACCTCAAAGCTGTGAACAGATCCAACACACCTTCCTCCTATTTTCCCCACAACAACCACCCTGTGCAGTGAGTTAAGTGGAGAATGAGTGACTGGCCCAAGGTCACCCAGCTGGTTTTCATCACTAAGGTGGGAGTAGAACTCAATGTCGCCTGGTTTCTAGCCTGATGATGCCTTACGCATTAGACCAAACTGGCTCTTGTTCACAAACCTGCCCCTCCCTGGATTTGCCTGACCAACTTTTGCAAAAGCAGCCATCACCTTTTCTGTCTGCAGCTCACTTACCTGTAAAGAAGACCTTTCTTCCAACTATATTGACCCCTAATGCCCAACTGCCACACTGGGTCCTCAGCCCCAGCATGATTAGACAGAGAAGAGACACTCCCAACAAATATTTATTTCAATATGATAGGGGATAAATGTCTATGGAGATTCCCAGTCATCCATGTCATGGTTGTCCCAAAGGTGCTTTTTCAAGAGGCAACTGGACTTCCTTGTTTTTCTTTGGAGACATTTCGCTTCTCCTCCCAAGAAGCTTCTTCAGAAGCAAAATGTCTTCAAAGAAAAACACGGAAGTCCAGTTGCCTCTTGAAAAAGCACCTTTGGGACATGATAGGGGATAGTCACCCAGGTGAAGAAGCATAGGATCCCACCCTACCCCACTCACGCTGTTGAAAGTTAACTTTATGTTGCCAGCATCCAGCGTAGCAGCACGCTTGTCAAAACTGATGACATGAGCGAAGTCCTCAAAGGTTGTATTTACTTCTACACTGAAGCTCCGGTCCTACCAAGGAGAGAAGAAAGGGAAAAAGAGAGATAGGAAAAAGCCACGGTTAAATTCCTTCCTTCAGAACCCTGGCGCTTACTTCCAACATATGCAAAAGGAATAAAGGAATACTAAAGACAATCCACTATAGACTTCGATCTTTTTAAGGGTTCTCTGAAAAGATCTTTTCTCTGGATCAGGTAGGGTCTGGAACTGCAGCCCAGAACAGCTCCAGTTCCCCTTACCTGCTTTTATTTTAAAGCAGATACAAGCATCAGAATAACCTCTGCTCTGTACAAAGAAGGATGTTTCAAAGGCAATGTCTTATGGTTCTCCCAAAAGTGATGATGGCACTGCCAAAGAAGGGCCCCAGCTAACTGGAATCACAGAATGAGACATAATTCCCTCAAGGGAAATAGCTTTGCATCCAAAAGTATTTCTAGTTCCTATTCTGTTGTTAACCTTCCAGCCGCACCTTGAGAATATCCTTGATTATCTTTTTTTCGTCGTGGAACCGGGCCTTCAGATCTTCAACGTAGAATTTAAAGAGATCGAGCGGGGTGGAGCCTGTGAACAGAAGAACAACAAGAAGTAGCCCATGCATTCATTATTAGCGCTGGGCACAAAGAAGATCTGCCCACCAAGTTTTCAAGCAGCTTCCAGATCTTCTAAGATTTGGGGCCCAGGGGAATATAAGGCCATCATTTCACTGAAGCTAAGCATGATCCATGTCTGGTTGGAAAATTACATCATGTCCATCAGTTTAAGTTACAGGATAGAAAGCAGGATGTGAAGTAGAATAAATGAGCAGTACAGGATCAACAATGCTATTTGAAACAAAATAAATTGTCCACGCCTCCTATTCCTCTGTTACTTATCCCCCTTGGAAAGTCAGCAACCACAAATGCACACCATAATGTGCCCTCAGATGCTCTTTTACTTAGGTCAGAATAGGTGACCTAAAAGTCCAACGGATGGATATATGGCCCTTAACGGCCTTGAGGCAAACAGAACATGCTCAGAAATTCCTTATGATGGATTACTGCACAGACAATAATGGAAGAACAATGAAATCCCCAAAGAGGGAGAATGGATTGTGAAAAATGTCAGAACTGGAAAACTGGCCTGTTGATCAGAGAGAGAGAAAAAAAATTTTTTGAGTCTGAAAACCTTACATGGACATTTTGCTGAAAGAAAAAAAAAGATGATTTATAAGTTTGAAGATTAAGATAAGCTTGGATAAAATGAGGAGCTAATGTTACAAAATTGTAACTACTGAAAACAAGGTTGGAAATCATTATACCTCTTAACCGTATTTCTTTTCTCTTTTTGCTTCTTGCCCTTTTTTATTTTTCCTTTCCTTTTCCCTTTCCCTTTATTTTATGAAAAAACTTTTCTTAATAAGTTTTTAATTAAAAACCTCCTTATAATGCATACATTTATAATTCAAGGACACATTTGAGAGCTTGCCTGGAAGACAAATCAAAATAGAAAATATTTCTCTTAAGGCAGGATTCATGAAAAATCTTGAAGTAAGGCTTTATAAAACCTTTAGTGAAGCCCCTGACTCAACCAGCCTTCTTGGTTCATGGAGTTTAATCCCTGGATTCAGATCCAGTTTCAGCTTTTCCAATGGGAAGATCTCAAGTTTATTAAACCTAAGTGTGACATTTCAAGTCATCCCAAACACCACCTGGGGGGATGGACCATTTGATCCATGCCCATAATTTGGGAAACACCTTTTCCAGAGGGAGGGAGGGAAGGAGGGAGGGAGATTCCTGCCTGAAGCTGCTTACCAGGCTGGCCCAACATGTTGGCAAAGCGTCGGTCGGTGCTGAGGGAGGGATACAGCTCCATCCAAGTGGACATGGAGTGAAGGCGCCCGTTTTCGTGAAGCTCGTCCAAGAAGGCCTGAGCAAGAAGCAGCCTGGTTATTCTACGATAGAGCGAGAGAGATCAAGGAGTCAGCCCCTCCCCCAGTCACAGGCCCTGCCAGGGAGGCCATGTGCCCCAAAGCAGGCCCTGAAGCCCACCTCCCTCTGCCCTGACAGAGGTTTCTTCAAGACTTCCTTCCTTTTTACCCTTCCAACGCTCATCTGGAAACTCAAACATTTCAGATACAACAGAGCACTGCATATACAGGATAGAGGAAGACAAAAGCAGGAACCACTGGGAAGAACTGCAAAATTTGACTTGAAAAGTACAAGATTTTAAAAAAGCGAGTGTCAGAATTTTGCCCCCGATTCCTGGGAAAATTAACACTTCTGTGTTCCAGCCGCTTTATCATACTTCCCTGGAGACTTCTGGACAATTATTGTGCAATTTTTGCCTCACAGTTTGCTGTTTTCCAGAGTGTCCAGACAATGCCATGAGCATAGAACCCATATTTTCACATTGATACATCTGCCATGTTCTACTCTCATTTGAAGTACAGGTAGTCCTCCACAATTAAACCCCAAATTTTCACTGCTAAGCAAAACATTTGTTAAGTGAGTTTTGCCCCCACTTTACGACCTTTCTTGACATAGTTATTAAGTGAATCCCTGCAGTTGTTAAGTTAGTAACAATGTTGTTAAGTGAATCCAGCTTCCCCGTTGACTTTTGCTTGTCAGAAGGTCACAAAAGGCAAACACATGACCCTGGAATACTGCAACCGTCATGAATATGAACCAGTTGCCAAGCATCCGAATTTTGATCATGTGACCACAGGGATGCTACAATGGTCATAAGTGTGAAAAATGGTCGTAAGTTCCATTTTCAATGTCTTGTTCAGTAAATTCAAACACTCACAGAATGAATGTTTGTCAGTGGACGACTACCTGCGAGTAAAAAAATACAAGGAAGAGAAAACTGTCATGCAGCATTCCAGAAGGCACCAAAAAATGTGAGAAAATAGGAATGATGAGGTGTACCGGAATGATCACCCCATAAAACAGGGGTGTCAAACTCAAGGCCCAGGAGCCAGATCCGGCCCACGGAATACTTAGATCTGGCCCACAGGGTTGCCCTGGAAACAACGAAGGACTGGCCCACGGTGCTTCTGGCAGTGAAAACGGAGCTCGGGAGCCTATTTTGGCTGGCAGAGCGCTTGGGCCACCACTAGCACCCCCGAGGTCAAACACAACCCTGATGCGGCCCTCAATTGAGTTTGAGACCCCTGCCATAGAAGAATGAAGTGACTCTTTACCACAAGAACATTCAGCCAGCGTGGCCAACAATAAAGAGTACTAAAAGCTGTTGTTCAGGGGTATCTAGAGCAGACATGAGCATTTTACGACATTACAGAGGGTGGTGAGCACAGCACAAAACATCATGGCTGTTCCCTGATACCACTAGATGACATCGCTATAGGGCTCGCTGCCTTAGAAGAGTGAGGAAAATTCTCAGAGATAGCTCCCACCTCAGTCAGCACTTCTTCACTCACCTACCATCGGGTAGGAAATATAGAAGCAGAGCCAGCCGCACCAACAGGCTGAAGAACAGTTTCTACCCGTGGGCTGTCAGACTTCTGAACAGAAAATAACTTCATGTCAACATAGTATGATAGACTTGCAGGGCCGGCGTGTTATACAAGGTCACATAGTGTCATAAAATTGGAACTGGGTTCGGGACTTCTGTCCTCACTGTGAGTTGTGTTGGGTGTGTGTGGGGATGAAGGGAGTCTTAGCCAACCTCAATGTACACATGTTGTACACTGACAATAAAGGTAATAATAATACGGCCCTTTGGGTGTCCCTGTCCAGCCCACGTGAGATCAACCGGAAATTAGAAATCAAATGTAAATAAGGACACTCTATGAGACTCCATATTTTCACAGTCTTATCGTAACATGTAAATTCTTACCAGTATAGCACCTAATCAAAACCATAGAATTTGGTGCTTTTTATAAAGTGATAAAATGAATATTGAGTAAACTTAAGTTCAGCCTGTTGGTTCAGCCCTCCGCAACAGTCCCAGTTTCTCATGTGGCCTCTTGGAAAAATTAATTGGCCACCCCTGATTTACAGGGTCACACTTGTCCCCCTTTATTGTATTACTTGTGGTGCTCTCTTGGAGTTTTTATGTTCTTCCAACATCCAAGTAAATCCTCACACTGGAGCCTAGCTGGGCTCCTTTTGTTTCTCCTCTCTTAAATAAAAGCAACATGTTTTCCCAATTTCTTCTGGTGCTTCCCCCCGCCCCTTCTCATTTGAAGTAAACTTTTTTTTTGGGGGGGGGGAATGGATCAAACGAGACTCTGCAAATATTGGGCGAAAGGAATAGGGGCATTCTGCAGTAACAGTTCAGGTCTCTGAAACTGATTAGGAAAATGCAAGAAAGTTTCCTTACAGGGACTATAAAATGGGCATCAGGATTTATGGATCCGATCTTTAACTGTTTATCAGAAGCAAGAAAGCACTCTACAGGTAGTCCTCAACTTACAACAGTTCATTTAGTGACTATTCAAAGTTATAACAGCACTGAAAACAGTGAATTATGATCATTTTTCACACTTATGACAGTATAGCAACCCCATGGTCACCTGATCAAAATTCAGATGCTTGACAACTGACTCATATTTATGACAGTTGCAGAGTCCTGGGGTTATGTGAACACTTTTTGCAACTTTCAGACCAGTAAAGTCAATGGGAAAACCAGGATCCGTGTCACTAAATCACCAACTACAATTATTCATTTAACAACTGTTAGCAAAAAAAAGTTGTACAATGGGGACAAAATTCATCGAAGAAATGTTTCACTTAGCAACAGGAATTTTAGGCTTCATTGCGGTCATAAGTCAAGGAATACCTGTATTTGCCTGTAAATGAAAAAACAAAACATATACAAAACACAATTTGTAATATAGGGAGGCAGTATTTTCAATGACTGTAAAAAGTCAGCACAGGGGAAGAGGGCATGCTACCCCTGCTGCAAATGTGTGGGAAGGTCCATGAACAAGAAACTGAGATTCTCTGAAGCAGTATTTCCCAACTTGGGAATTTTAAATAAATATGGATTTCAAACTGCTGGAATTCTCCAAGCAGTCATTGATGGCTGGGGAATTCTGGGAGTTGAAATCCGCCACTTTTTAAAAGTTTCCAAGGTTGGGAAACATTGCTTTGAAGGGTTGAAAGTCAATGGGAATTCCTTTCAACTGTGACAGAAAAGCAATCACTGGAAATTATATGAGCCTTCTCTCTGCGAGCACCTTCTCTCTCACTAATGGCTAGATTTTATTCAAAAGCTGAAGACAGCCAACATTGTTAGGAAATTACATTCTAGTATATCCAGTCCTTTCTTGGATTCATAATCAAGCTAGAAACAGGCCAAAACAAAATAGTGACGAGTTATGTGAAATTAAAATGAAAAATGACTTTTTCTTTCCTGGTTTGTGGAAATTTTGATCTATTTATATTCAGGTGATGGACAATAGAAACACTAAATGATCTAGAATAATCTTCGGAGCAGCTTGTTCAACGTAATGCTCTTCAAATGTGTTGGATGAAGGGTGCTAGAATTCCCAGCTACCATGGCATTTGGGAAGTCTGAAATTTACTAAGCCCTAGGATGAAAAAGACTGGACTAGTCTATTTACCATTTAGCCCAATATAGATTGTGACAGCAATAAAAGGATTTTCCTATAATTTGTTACCTGACTCTTTTAATTAGGTTTTCCCAATTTAGATGCCCTTCTGATGCACAGATTCAAACCCTGGGAATTTCTCAGTTTGCCTTGGTGTCTGTGGGCGCAGTGGAAGTATAAATCCCTGATTTTTCTTCCTCTCTGGTTGGAGATTCTGGAAGTTGGAAATCCAACAGACTTCTACAGTGCTAAATTAGGGAAGGCTATTCTATGGCAAATGCAATAATCCAGACTTCTACAGAAGTGATGGATTACAATATTAGGCCTGGGAAAAGCTGGCATCAGTCAGTTCAGTGACTGAAAAAGGGCAGATGTTAAAATGAGCGATTTCTTTAAAAAGCAGCAGGCAGCACCAAACTGGCACAGTGAAGGGTATAACTTCAGAAAATGTCAGTGTTTCTCCACCACGTCCACTTTCAGATCTTATGGACAATTTCCCAAATTCTCAGCAATTGCTCGAATTTCTCAGGTAATGCGGTCATTGCTGAGAATTCTGCAAGTTGACTACGCCTTTGGATCCCAGCAGCTTGAAGATCGCCTCTAATTCTTCCAAGTGCTAATGACCAGAATCTACAAGGCATGGAATTCTTGCCAAAGTTCTTGCTCTGCAAGGCAAATCACACGCGTCTTTCCAAAGATTCCCCGGCAAAAGCCTCCTTGGCTCATGGCTGTGATTGCAAATACCTGGAAGGCTTCCCTGTTCTTCCTCTGCTGACGCCTCTCCCGTAATCGACCCCGTTCACGCTCCTCCTCTTCCTCCCTCTCCAACGTCCGGATGTGTTCCTCAAAGCAGATTAAGGCATCCTCCTTGTCCATGTCTGAAAGAGGGAAAGTTGGGAGCAGGCCAGGCTGAGCTAAGTGATAAAACCATGATGACACGGGAGGAAAAGTACAAGTTTATTCTGCATTGAGGTGACAGGCGCAGACAAAGGGGAAGAGAGCCTAGAGAGTCCCCTATGAATGAAGGCTCTAACCACGGAGAGCTGTAGCTGTCCTATCTAAGATGGGAAGTTGTGGCCCAACCTGTCACCAGGGCAGCAGACAGGCCAAGTGTTTGAAATGTTAGGACAGCTTGTTATACTTCTAGCTTTTGTGACTTCTAGAAGGTAGCAATTAGATTGCAGTGCCCAAATAAATAACCTACGTTATGGCTTAAAGATGTGAATATAGGGTTCCCATAGCGTGTGAAGACAAAGAGTTAGAAAGATGAAAGTAGGAGGAAGGGGCAATGAGATGGTGGAAGATGACTCACTTTGCAAGTCTTCGTCTTCGGCAAAGCTGGGGTTGTCCATTAGATACTGCTGGGCTTCAGACCAAGTGGTCTGGAAGCTGACACGGCTCATGCTATCAAGGATACTCTTCAGCGCTTGAATGTTCCTTTTGCGGAGCTGCTTGGCGTGTTCCTGGGTGGGACAGAAGGGGCACCATTAATGCTAGGACTGTGGGTTTCCGCTTGGAGGCGTAGGAATGAAGGAATGAAAGCGTCAGGATGTCACAGTGCAAACCTCAATCTTTTTGTAAGTAAGGTCTCACACACACATATATGTAAGGGACGGGGCTTTTTATCAAAACAACCTTGCAATTCAGATGAAACTGTGGATCGGACTCTCTGTGGATGTTGGTGGCTAGAATCCATCTCAGTAATCTTGGATTCCTGACCTCAATTTCTGGGAGCAAGTATCAAGATTAGTTTTTTCTACTGTTACTCAGGAAGGAAGGCTATGGGGGAAGGGTGATGCCTGCACTTTTTGTTGTTGTTGCTGTTGCTATCAAGAACTCCTGCCCTTGCCCCATTCTTGACATACCTTCTCTTTCTTGGCCAGAAAAAAAAGAACGTCATCATAGATCTCCTTGCGATCCCTTTCAGGCACCAGAGCCCACACTTCTAGCTCACCAAACATTTGCTCAGCTTTTCTGAGGAGGGAAATAGAAAAGAAAACTGAAGATGGGAGGGTAGGGTGACAATCCTCAAGGGAGGATAAATAAAGATGCATGAAGCATCTTTAGCCAATCTCACTGTACACATGTTGTACTCTACCATAAAGGTAATAATAATCGAGGACAACCTAGCAGGCAGAGTGAGGGGCTCGGGGACATCCATGCTTGGAAGAACCAAGCAACAGCCCCTCTACTTTGATCTGGTCAGGACAGAGATTTGGCAACAGAAAAAAATAAGAGGGATACCTGTAACAGAAACCTCCTATTTCATGCCTGAACAGGGGAAAGTGGACTGCTTAGTAGGTAACATCCTCTTTTCTGGTCTTCAAGCTGCAACCTTTTCAGCATTTACATCTCTCATTCTAGCCCACTGGAAATCCAGCAATAAATTCTAGGTTCATTACTGGAAAATGCAGCTTCCTGTTCCCCAAAGTGCTCAATCTCTGCCGGGTTCAGATGTGCAACCGTGCAAAATTAATCATCATTACAGCTGATGCTTATTCAAGGAACTGGGCCAGCCACACCTAACCTATTTCCTTCGAAGGATCCTTCAAGACCTAGCCAGGAAGGCACCAGTTCTCTTAAGCAATCTCTAAAACAGTTCTGGGAGAACCATCCAGGCTCCCAACCTTCCCCCGCTGGGTTGTTGTTCCACCAAGCCCTCCTGATCCTCGTGTACCTGTAGCGGGTGGTAGAATTCATTTTGTTGTGTTCTTCCAAGAAGCGCTGCAGTTCTTCCTTTGCCTCCTTGGCCCGCAGCCGGGCCTCTTCTTTTTCTTCCTTGTCCCGTTGAGCCTTGTAGGCATTGAATGCCTGCTTCTTCTCACTCAGCTTGGGCAAAGCACTGGGACACACAGAAGCCAGAGGTCAAGGGCTGGCTCACATGGGCAACCACAGGCAAAGGAAAACAGGGGACCCGAAGTTCTAGTTCCCCGAGTGAGTAAACGAGGTAGATGGGCAGGGCACCGCAACTGAGTTCTCTCTGTAGGGCTTTCAGCATACAGGTCTGCAACTTGGACTCACTGTCTGACAAGGGAGGGAGGGAACTAGATGCATCCACCCAGGATCATACCTGAAACGGGGTTCACTGCTTATAAGCTTCATGGCCTGTTCCCAGGATGCACTAGCTGGAACGCCCTAAAGCCAGAAAATGGGGGTATTTCAATCAAGCTGTACCATCTTCTGCTCTTGGACTGCAGCGGTTAGGCCTGTATTGCCTTATTTGGCAGGCTCCTTCTTTTAAATCCATATTTTTAAAACAAGTACAAGAATCAGGGTATAACAAGCTTGGTGTTTTGATTTTCTTCTGCTTGAACGGGTCTCAATGGAAAGCACTCGGGACACAAAACTTGCCACCATTTTCTGGGCAGGCTAAGCGACGGGCATAAAAGAAATGTTATCTCAAAAGGCTCTTTAACTCCTTGTTCTCCTTTCCCTTCTGCAATTATTACCTTCTCTTTGAGCAGCTCCTTAAAAGCTTGTTTGGCTTCCTCTTTGTTGCTCCAGGCACTGCCACGATCTTCTTCATCTCTCTGCAGGGGATCACAACTGCCCAAGGAAAAGCAAAGCATTTGGACAAAGCGTGAAGGAAAGCTTCAGCTAACCGATGCTAGGAATTCCAGGTGGACCGTGTGGCCTTCCACACAGATAAATCAGCAGATGAATAGAGGGGAGTGTCCATCTTCCTCTTCCTATCATTCTATTTGTCCTGCAGCCCCCAGTTTGAAAGCCTTAGGCAGGCTTAGTGTGGCGTCCCTCAATCTGATGTTTTCCAGATTGGTTGGAGTAAAGATGCCACTATCTGCTGGACCAGGACCTCTCAACCTTGGCGACTCTAAAGAAGCGTGGACTTCAACTCCCAGAATCCTATTGTTTTTACATACATTTTACGTGTGCTATACAGGGAGTCCTCCACTTATGACCAGAAGTTATGTTGTTAAGGGAGGCATCTGTTAAGTGAGGGTTTGCCCCATTTGACGACCTTTCTTGCCACAAGTGAATCACTGCAGTTGTTAAGTCACATGGTTGTTAAGTGAACCTGGCTTCCCCAGTGACTTTGCTTGTCAGAAGGTCGCAAAAGGAGGGTCACGTGACCCCAGGACACCGCAACTGTCATAAGTATGAATCGGTTGATGAGCGTCTGAATTCTGATCGCATCACCATAGGGATGCTGCAATGGTCGTTAAGGGTGAAAAATGCTCAGAAGTCACTTTTTTCAGTGCCGTTGTATCTTTGAATGGTCACTAAATGGACTGTTGTAAGTAGAGGACTGCCTGTATTTCTATGACCTATTTTATACCTTTTTTAACCTGTTCAGTGTTGAATGTTATGTGTCTATAACTTGAAGGTGCTTCTGACGCAGATAAAGGAAAAACTCCCAGAATTCCTCATCCAGGCTGGATAATTCTGGGAATTGAAGTTCACAGATCTTAAGAGGGTCTTAAGATTGAGAAACAATTGTGTTAGAAAGCTGGCTCTAGATCAACAAACTTCCCTCTGCTGTCCCCTCCTCTTGAATTACCTGCTTGTGACCTCCTCCTCAACAGCCGCTGGGACTCCCTCAGTCCCTGGGGTCTCTTCAACACCCCCAGTGCCTTCCGTGTCTGAGGTGGCCGCGGAAGACGGGGTGGGACTGGCAGGGCCTGACAATGGTTGGGCCTCTGATTGCTGAGGTAGCTGTGGCCTCCTGGGAAGGAAGAAGATGGCAGCTATGAATATTTTGCAGCAGAACAAGACAAGCCCAATTTACTGCACAGTTTAGAGAACTTTCCACACAATGGATTCCAGAGAGAAGGGACACAGGACCGGTCTCAACCAGTCCTAACCCCACTCAGCCCCTTTTGGGGTTCTGTGTTTCCATGAGCATTTTTCGATTCCTTGCCACCATCAAGTAGAATCAGAAATAGAAATTTTATTTGCGAGCAAAATGGCAAAGCTCAAGGTTTTCTGAAGGTTTTGTGACCCAGATGCCAGATCTTCCAGAGAGATGAGTCAACATCTAGGGGAGGCTTGGAAGAAAAAGGAAGTCCCCTGCCCTGCCACTGCTCACTCCGTGCCCATCTCTCATGGGACAATCCCTGCTGGGTGGGCCTGTCTTTTCTCCTGCCCAGCCAGCTCTTTGAGCTCTTCTTGAGGCAATCTGCTTCCAGGAACTTACTCTGCTTCCTCCTCTTCCTCCTTGATCAATGCTGAAGAACAAAAACAGGAAAAGGTTATCAAAGGAAGATTGTGGGAAGCAGGACCCCACCCTAGATTTGATCCTGGAGACCCTCACCTTCAATGTCATCCAGCTCTCGTGGCCTGGTCCAGCGTGACTCCTTGCTCTGAGTATTGTAGTAATAGGATTTCCCGGTTTCTGAGCGATACTCACGCCAAGGACAGTGTGACAGCAAGATCTGCAGAAGGAAAAAAAGACAGTCTTAGCAAGTGTATAGTGTGTGTGTGTATGTGTGTGTGAGAGAGAGGGGGGGGAGGGAGGGAGAGAGAGAGAGAGAGAGAGAGAGTGGGTTGTGGGGTAAAGATCCAGAACTTTTTATCCTTTTCTGAAAAATTATGCACTGACGGACCAATCCGTAGCTATAATCAAGCTTGCCTGTCTCAGTTAATGAACCGATTCCTTTTCTGCATTCATACAATACCTTTAAATTAACCTGAAATATTTAATCACAAAAGCCTTCTTTTCTATTAGCCCCGACTTGGTTGTGAAGCCAAAAGCTACAGTTATATCCTGTGTCTAAAAAAGCATTTGGTTGTCTGCTTGGGAAATTGAATTTTGAGTGAGAACCAGTGTGGTTTCTTATTAAAGGGTTATTTATAAATTACACCTATACTAAGGGGTTATTTTGCAAATGGCCACATGATTCTTTTTTCATTTAATAATTCAACAATTCTTTCCTCACTTAGAGGTAAGGTTCCTGACGGCCTTCTTCTAAAGCATCTATCTGGTTCACATCCAGCCGATGGGAGCAAGTCCTGTAGTCAACAAATTCTCCCAGATTCCACGGAATAATCTGAGATAATTTGATGGACCTGGTTAGATTTGAAAGAGATCCTAACCCAATCAATTGCTGAATACAGGAATGTTGGAAGTACAACTTCCCTAACAGATGGCCATCCAGCTTCCACAATGAAGTAGAGTCTGTTCCATGTAGATACAACTCTTTGCTGGTAGAAAATTTCTCCCAAACATCGGTTGAGATCAGCCCCCTTCTACCTGCTGGTTCTTGCCCTATCTTCTGGAACAGACCACAAGCCTCTTCAATCTTTAATCATTTGTATCCCATATCCCTAAATCTTCTCCATGCTATGCACACTTCCTCTGAGTGCCTGTTTTACAGTTCCTTAGAAGCCTCATCATCTCCTGTGTTTATATTCCAGGAATTCTTAGGATTATGACTCCAAACCTACTTTTTAGGAGAAAAACGAGATGGGATTGCTGCCTCGGATGGCTGACTTTCACTTACCAGAGACCCAATACATGTTAACAAGGGGGTCGGGGGGGGGGGGGGAATCAATGTCTAAGTTGCTTCAGCAACCAAGCGTAGGAACAACTCTCACCTCTGCCTTAGACTTGAGTTCATCTGGCTTTTCCCAACTTGATTGTTTGGTTTCAGCGTTATAATAATAGATCCGCCCATCAGGGGCTTTATGCTCACTCCATGCTGGCTTCTGTAAAGAAAATTCAAACCAAACCAAATCAAGCTGAGATCCAGTTCGGCAAATATCCACAATCATCCCTACACACACACACACACACACACCCCGCATCCCGAACAGACACAGATTCAGAGAAGAGAAACCACCATTCTGTGAATCACAGTGTTTACTTCCAAAGAAAGCACAAAAATAAAAAGGCAGCTTTGTAGCTTTTAGGAAGTTGTGTGAGCAACATCTAAAGAAAATCTCCTGGGGGAGGGGGACATTTAGGGAAGATTAATAAGAAACATTTCCCACTGTCAAAATACAAAGGTGGAAAAGTCAGCATCCGGATCTTCCTAGAAGAGGCAGTAAAATAATGAAGAACGCAACAGCAACCGCATGAACAGAGGTGGGCTGCTGCCGGGTTCGGACCGGTTCGCCTGTACCGGTAGTACCTACCACCTGCTGGGCCTGCCCACCTGCCTTGGTGCTATCCCGTCCTATATATCTCGCTCTCTGGCTCGCTCGCCCCGCCCTTGCAACCCAGCTGATTTCTGCTCCTCACCCGCTCTACTCACCCGCACCTGCCCGAGGTGTGCTGGAAGACATGCGCACGAAATCGCCATGTGTTTGAAGCCACGCGCAAGCTGCACACTCACATTTTTGGTTCTGCACTAGGCGAACTGGTTGTTAAATTACGCGAAGCCCACCTCTGCGCAGGAATACTCTAGATCTAGACTGATTATACTTAGGTCTTCATTTTCTGTGGGCACTGAAACAAGACCCCGCTCCAATTTTACCCTGTCAATAACCCTGTGAGATATAGGCTGGGCTGGGCTGGGCTGGGCTGAGAAATAATGACTGGGCCCAAGTCATCCAGAGAACTTTTATGCTTCAAAATGGAACTGAACCTAACCCAACACCGCACCCTCTATTCTTTGTGATTCTCTTGATCTTATTCTACAAAAGGTACGTAAGTTGGATTTGGGGTATGAATTATGAGTTAATTTCCTTTAGCCCAGAAAATAAACTCACAAGATTTTCCATCCCCTTTTGTGAATTATGCTATTTGCAAAATGCTTCTTCTAGCTTCCCCTTTCCTTTATCCACTGAAGTCCTTTGCCATCATCTAGTGTTCACATACACTTTCACTTTTTCCCTTGGGCCTTGTAATGCACTTCATTTATTCTCTTGGAGAGAAAGGGTAGCCCTTTTTTCCCCCTGAACATCAAATACTAGAGAAGCAGCATGAGAAAACCAGGCAAAGAATTAAGACTACACTGTTTGAGATAAAACACTAACATAGTTAGGAGACTCTCTCCAGATGTTCATCTGTGCTAGTCATGATCACCAGCACAAAACGGTGGAGCTCTTTATCTCTTTGGTGCACCTTCTGTGAACCATTTTTGGATCAGTGGAATGCCAACATGCAACCCTGTTTTGCTTCCTGGAACAAAAAGAAATGACATCAAGAAACCTGATGCCTTTTCTCCACTGAAACATTTTTTGTTCTTTACCTTTCGTCCTGTATCCAGCACTGGAGAGCCACCAAGAATTACATTTTGTTGCATTGCAGCTGTCAGGGGGTTGGGGATCTGAAATTTAAAGCAACGTTTAAATTTAAAGCAGAAGAGGAGAGAAAAAAATAAAACAAATCCCTGGATATAGGGGAGAGGAAGGAGAACACAAAGGAGGAAAAGACATTTGTTTGTTTTTCATCCATTCATTTAAAAAATGGATTGGCCACCCGCCCTGCCTCAAGGTAATTCTGTTTTAGTGCTTAATCTTATAGCTCTACCAGTCATCCTCCCCTAATTGGATAACACCTTTACATCTGCTATCCCACCTGGCATGCTCTTCATCCTCAACCCCCACAACTAAGGGCCATGCCTATTGGGACAGTGGCAAAAGGCAAAAAAGAAAGCTTAGATTATGAGAAAGACAGAAAGGCTAGATCAAAACCACAGAGAGTACCAACATATCCATAGTGTCTCTACCAAAAACATAATTTAGGACTTTCCTTCTTCCAGCCATCTTCAATTGTAGGTGTTCAACCTGCCCTTGCTTTTGGTTTTAAGTAGGTTGTTTAAGGGTTAGCTTTACAGAATAGATGAGGCCAATAAATACTTGGGGCTCATGGCATTGGGCGAACCCAATCAGTTTCAAGCAAAGTTAAGCAAACTACACTTTGATATCTTCCTAGGAAAATAAAAAATAGAAGCTACCCCATACTTTGAAGAGCTATGTGTTATTTTGAAAACCCCATGATGCATTTAATTCCTTACATAATTCCTTAATTCCACATCTAGGGAAGAATTTTTCCAGATACTCACCACGGGTGCTGCTTGGGTCACTGTGGCTAGAAAATAAGAAGACAGCTTAGAAAAGTGGAACAGATGTGGTCAGGGATCACTCATAGAAGAAACCCTACTGTCCTGCAGAGAAGCAACAGGTGCCAGCGACAGCAAATACAGCAAACATAAGATCTTAAAATGAACTTGTTGGGTCAGGCCAATGGCCTATTTAGTCCAACGTTTTGGTCCAGAAAAGCCAAGCTGATGCCTCCCGGAAGCAAGGTTTCACTGGGTCTTTATGAGAGGTAATTAGGATGGTTTGCTTGGAATGGAAGAGGATGATGTATCTTGGAATTTACAGTATTATTGACACAAAATACAAACTAGAGAGAGAAAAATGCAGCTGCAATAAAGAAGCAGTTTTTGTCAGTACCTACCTCTCTTCTCCTTTCAGAACTTTAAAAGATGTACAAGGGGGAGAAACTCAATGGATGCAGCCTAGCAAGGGCAATACCTGTGGACATTCAGTCAAGTATGCAAACATAAAAAGCCCCAAATTTCTATTTCTGGAGGAAACCTGGCATGATTCTCTATACCAGATTTAATAAGCATCTCTTGAGCTAGATCACACCAAAGCTATATTTAAATGCATCCCTGAAGATACTCACTATTGGATGGGTCAGTAACAGGAGCTGCCTGTCGAAGAAAAAAGTCAAATCAGATCAAGCAGCTTCAACCTATTTTTTTCTTTTTCTTATCTTTCCTTTAATTCTTTATACTAGTGCTGGCCATGTTCAATCTTGCTCTATTGCCCTTTACTTTATTTATTCTTGTTAACCTTAAAGAACTAAAGTAAGGTTTTATGTCAATTTGTTGGTTAACTTTATTATGGCCACTCATCAGCATTTTATGCAATTATAGAATGTTAGAAAGTACACATTAAAATGCATAGATGTTTCTTAAAATCAACAGAAATAAATGAAAGAATTTAGTACAATATCATAATGGGGGGGGGGAATTAAGACACCTAATATTAAAACTAAAGAACTAATTTTTTTTTCATCAAAACAAATTAACTAATTAAGGAACCTAAATAGTAGAAGTAAAATCTAATTTTTACAGCAACAATAATATATTTATCAGATTGCAAGCTGAGATCTCAAGTACCTTACAATTAAAAGCTCAATAAAAATCAATAGAGGAAATAAATATTTGGAGAAAGGACAACTCCCACCAATTTCAACAATCCCTCATGAGTCAAGGGGAATGCAAAATACACCTTGGCCTATCGCCGTTTTGGAAAGCCAAATTTTCAATGCTTTTTTTTAGAGCACAGCAGGAATGAAGTCAGAGACCTCTGGAAGGATGGTACACTGGAATGAATGCATGAACGAATAAACAAACGAATGAATGACAAAGAAAATATCAAGTCAATCTCTCTTCAAGCTGTTTGGAGGATTTTGGTCTCAGAATTCATAAAAGACAAATGGGATCTTTCATCATTCTCTCCATGGTCCAGGCTAGGGCTTTTGGGTATTGTGGTTTTGCAACAACTGGAGGACCATAATCCTAGTGCATGCCTGTTTCCTACCAAGTTCAAGTGATGCTAAAGCCCAATCAGCTTTGCTTACTTCTCTGCACTGAACTCCACACCTTGTTCACTTCATCATCCATCAACCAAAGTATGGTCAACCAAGTGGCTAAAGAGCATCATATATCTGTTCCCAAATGAAAGAGGCAGCCCTGTTATGAAGGCCATTGAAGTATATATGCAAGCTCTTGTGCCACACCCTATTCTAATTCCCTGAATCACTGTCCTTTCTGACACTCACTCCTCCTCCAGAAACAGGAACAGGCCCAGCTGGCACCCCTGGCATGATCATCCCAGGCAGCATCGGTGGCACCATTGTGGGCATCTGGAGACAAAAGAAAAGACCAAGCCATTATACTTATTGCAAACTGGAGAACAAAAGGCAAAGAAAAACATGAACCAGCACTACCTGACCCAGGGGCGGTGGTCCAGGCATAGGTGGAATCATAGGGGGAGGTGGCATCATGCCAGGGGGCATAGGAGGCATAGGAGGTGGCCGTGGTCCCATTGGGGGCAATCCCATGGGTGGAAATGGTGGTGGGATCCCAGGAGGAGGCATCTAAGAAGAAGAAAAGAAACACATATACCTGTGCCCAAAGCAGAATATACTCTGGACCAACCACAGACTAAGTTTCAATCCAGCAGCATCATACTTCAAGAAAGAAAGGATGCTGGTATGCCTAATATCACATTTTTATAATCCTGCCTCAGTTATGTGGAAGCTTAGATAATGATCTCAAAGCTACAATTTATCTTTATGAGCTAATCTGTAAATCATGGCCACTTAAATTGATGGAATGGATTAGACTGACGTAGGCTGCATCACAGTAATTCATGCCCCAGTGCATACACATAATTTATTTGCTTCCCTTCCATCTGATGAATTTAGATCACAAATTAAATAATTTCATTGAAAATAAATAATAAAACAATCAAATGAAATCCCCATATTGTCATAGGAAGAATGAGTTTTTGTGTAATAATTAAGAATTGGGTTTTAGTTTTGAGGTAGCCCTCTAATTTCACATTTCACTTTTTTTTTTAGCTTGGTTATTTTCATTTTATAACAGCACCTACAAAATATAGAAAAAATTGATTTGGCCGCTTCCAAACATAGCAGAAGCAATTTCTGATCCAACTTCAGGTGAAGAAGCCATGAGCTTTCAACTCCCCAAACTGGAACCAACTTCAGGTTTGCTACCATTTCTCTAGGCACTGCAACCATAATATAGAATAGACCAAGGACACCTCTCGTATTTCCATAAAAACATTTAGGATACTGTTAAATACATCTTGCATTATGGTGAACTTACAAATGGAGGGGGTAGAATTGGTGGTGGCGGCCGTGGGGCAGAAGGAAAAGGAGCTGGCTGCCCAGGACTGCTTGAATCTGGAGTTGACTGCAAGCATAAATACATAATAAAAATATGAGTGGAGGTGGAAGAGAAGAATAATTAATGAGTTAAGAAAGGCAAAGGCAGCTGAGATGTAAAAGGTTGGATGTTGGGTTTGAGTAAATGCAAGTCTCCATTTAGCCCTGAAGTTGACTGATGCTTGGAAGATATTCCATTCTTGATGAGAACGGAGACGGCTGTAGTTCAGCTGCCTGGAAGGAATCAGGTTGGGGAAAGCAAAGCTAAATATTTTTTTTAAAAAAACCTGAAATGCTTTAGCAAGACTATAGTGAAACATCTCATCATTAATTTGTTCAGGGAGGCTCAATGAGTACCAAAACCGGTGAGTACCAATCAAATTTTCCCCACAAGAAATAATGTAATGAGTCACAAGGCAGCTGACAATGACAAGTTCTAGCTTGTGCGTTGAGTACCAAATGAACAATGAATACTGGGACAAAATTTTCAGATTAGATTCCAAATTCGGTGAGTTTCAAAGCAGTTGAGAACCAAGGTACTGCTGCATTCAAAAACATTGAATTCAACCAGCCTGCATCCAGGAATTCTATTAACAGGAACATCAAGAGACCAATTGCGCCAATTCAGATTTCTAGTGCAGATGGATGGTAGTGTTTGGTAAGGATTGTACGCCCACTTGTGTTCCTCCAGTATTTTTTCCCCAAATACTGAAATTAACATCAACCCCATGGAGCTAAGGGGAAAAATTAACAGGAAAAATTGCTCTCTAAATTGCTGTTCTCTAGTGCAAAGTATGAATACAAATTGATATTTAAATGCTGGATCAGATCACAACTACACCTGGTCTAGTATCCTGCAACTTTCAGTGACTTGACAGAAAGCTTCAAAAATGGACATATAGTCTCCCTTGGCCTGGCAACCATGCTTCCTTTCTATTGAAGAATCTCTTAGCTGTTATGAGTAACAGACACTGGTATATCTTTTCTCCCTCTTATTTTTCTGTGCCTATCAACCCACATACTGCATTAACTAAAGCTGACAAGAATTATAGCTCAACCTTGTCAAGCACCGCCAGTTCCCTGCCCCATCAAACACAAAAAAAATCATATAAACGTGAGTATCTCTATAACTCATAGAAGTACCGGAACATTCTTTGTAATCTAGATTAGGGGATAATGCCTTCATTCTACCATTTTCCTAAACCTAGTGCCCAGTGAGTCATTTCAAGTTCTCATGTTTCATTTGACAAACCTGCCCTTCAGATATCTCAGCTGCAATTCCATACTCAATAAATATCCTTGGTGGCTAATCTTAGGGACAGTGCAGTCCTACATCTGGGAGGCCCAGATTTCCCACTTCTTGTTCAGGTGACTTCATGAGAACAGAAATATATAGGCCTGTCCCATTATTCCTCTCCTTGGGCATTTTGTTCATAACTGCATATTTGGGTACAGTACTAAGTCTTCCCTGGATAAGTCAAGGTGCTGTATTAGGAAAAAGCTGGTTGTTTTTGCTTGAAATTACAGTAAAACTTAGAAAGCTGCCTTATGGTGGCTTGGACCTTCTAGCCAATTTATCATTTTTTCCTGCTTTGCTTGGAGAATGCACTTTCTACAGGCAACCAGATGGAGAACCATGAACAACCCTCAGAATTCATCTAAAAGCATACCAGGATTCAAACAGGTTTAAAGTATCTTGCACATACATTTAACAACACACCAGGGAGCAATTTATTTCATGCATCTTCAGCTCCCTCTTATCTTAGTAATACTCTCACCCTCTCCAAAAGCTGTTCTGAAAATTTGGTCCACTCCTTCACATGGTGTTTTAGATTACGCTGTGAGGAACTGTCTTCTTTAATGCATGAATCTATATTTAAGTCATACATACAGTTCACATGGATACAGCCATGACTCTCTGCACTTACAAATTCTTTGATACTAAACAGACATCCACATAAAGTACATCTTTTCATATGGCCCTACTTTGATGTATATATTTAAATGCATGCACATGTACAAAAAATATATATTTGCATGGGCTTGCACATCTATGTCTCTTGCCAGTGCTGCATGCAATCTTGATTGTGTGACCGTTATTAAATGGGTGCACTCCCACGCCTCTAATTTATTGCAGTGTGCCTCCTCCTGCTGGGGTTGAGGTGTCTGTTGATGGTTGAAGGTACAAAAAAGAAAATTGACAAAACTGCAGGCTGAGAGTTGAGATCCCTGCTGGCCTTGGCAAAAGAAAAAAAAGGCTGCCTCAACTCAGCCTAGTAGTTTATTCTCATGCTCAAGGGACGTTGCCCACTCAGATCCTGCTCTTGGAATAAGAAAGGCCAAGGGAATCAAGATTTCTCGTGTGTGGATGTGCATCTATTCTTTCCCACAGCTGCACCGGGCTGCTTATGAATGCCTCGGTTTCGAGCTGGATGCTTCTGCAATTTCTGCGCACGGCGCACCTCTCTCTCCAGCCGCTTTGCCAAAGCCGGGAGCTTGCAGCCTCCCCCGCTGCCCATCTTCATCCCGACTCCGGAGTCTCCCTCCGAGGTGGGGGGGGAGGGGAGAGGCAAGAACCTCGTTTATACGCGCCCCGCCACAGACCCCGAAACACCGAGGACTCCATCGAAGGAGCAGGATGGGGCCAGAAGGCGGGGGGGGGCTGCACGAGGGCTTCTTTCTCCGAGCAGGGAATCGGGAGCAAGCGGCCCGCGGACGAAAGTGCACGCCTTCCCTTCCCCACCCCCACCCCTCCCTCGCAGGCCACACACGCGCCCCTCCGCCCCCGAACCGATCTCCGCCCCGAATCTTCGGGGGGGGGGGGGGGGGGGGGGGGAGAACAAAGCAGCAGACATTACCATGGCTGAGCCTCGGATCAGCTGGGCTTGCAGGCGAGCCGCTCAGCCCACCCAGCAGTAAGGGCGCTCGCGATTGGAGGAGAAGGAGGAGGCAGGAAGGCGAAGCGGCCCAGCCGGGTGAAGCCTACACCGCCAAGCACGGGTCTCGCGGGGGGGAGGGAGGGTAGTGCGCGAGCTAGGCCGGCGGCTCAGCCAACCTGAGCTGCTTTTTCTCCTTTGCAGCACGGCCTTTCGGCTACGTCAGGAGGCATCCTAACCTTTGAGAAGAAGAAAAAAAGCTGGGAAGAAGACATGCCTCTGAGCATGTGCAGAGGAACCGCCTCTCTTCCCAACTCTGCCCCTCCCGCTCTCTAACGTCCCTGTCCAATTGTTTCTTTTATTTTTTTATTTTTCTTATATGTATCCATGTATTCATAACTATGTTTTTACTTATACCTATTATCTTGTAAGCAATTGACAAAAATAAATAAATAAATAATAAATAAAAATGAACAAAAAAAAAATACCAGAGCATCTTCTTGACTGGTCGAAGTTTTACCATTAGTTCTCAATTAGTTAAATCGAACAGGATTCAGTTGCCAGTGAATTATGAGGTAGGAAGTAGTTAAGGTTTCGTGAAAATGGAATATGGAAAAAAAAGACTTCCATACATGGGTTGAAAAAAATGAGATTTTATTTTTCTGTATTTCTTTGCTACCATTATCTGAACTACTGCAGATGGGAATCAGGATTTTATTAAATTTGATTCCACCCTGTTATAATCCAGGTGATGTCATGGCAGCATCTCTGAAAAATTTCATAAGGCTATCAGTCTTCTGCTAGATCAGCCTCCTGAGAGAGTCCTATTGGAAGCAGCATGCAGTAAATAATAAAACATGAAGGCTAAATCAATTATAAAGGCTTGCACTCAAACCTACCCTGCCATAATGTTCAGAAGAGTGATTGCCAATTGGAAATGCTGGATAAGAGGAGGTACCATCAGATAATTTATCCAATATTTCCCTAAAACTATCCTACATTAATATGTGTGGTGGTATTAACACTATCTAATCTTGTTGTTCAGGCATAGTAACAATAGACTGCAGGAGTAGCACATGGGAGTAAAATACATTCATTTGGCTGTGAGGAAGAGCATTGTGTGACGCCTACCCACTAGTAAATGTATTTTTTTTAAAAATCATCCGAAGTGATCTAGTTAATAAATAATGCCAAGCCTTTTGTAAAATTCTGCCGGAAGTCCATCTGGGCCTGGTGCCTTTCCATTATTTTGCTTCTTGAGTGCTTCAGTTAACTCCATCATGGTTATATTGCTTTCTAACATTGTTTCAATCTCTTTAGGTATCTGGGGTAAATTAGCATTCTGTAAATACTGTTTAACTCTTTCCTCATCAATACTCTCTTGTGTGTATAGTTTCCCATAATAGTCTCGTATGATTTCCTTCTTCTCTTTACTACCATAGCAAACTTGGCCTTGGTCATCTATTAATTGCAATATTTTTCTTGATTCTTTCTCCTTTCTCA